AGTATTGCTCGTATATCCTGAGACAACCGAGTGAGCAACGCTGTTATTAGGAAATGGGTGCTAGGTAAGAATGGCAGATCAATAGATGAAGTGGTTAAACTTCATCAGTTGAGGTGTTTGGGACATGTGCTGCGTATGCCTAACCACCGACTGCGTCGACAAGCTTTGTTTTGTAGTGTAGGAATAGGTTTACCAAGAGGATGCCTCACACTCAGGTCACATTCACTGAATTTATCCTAGTAGATATAGAACATTCATGTAGGCACACACACGGAACAGTTTACCGGTTGAAAAAAATCCTCCTATCAACAATTTAAGTAGTGAAATATAACACAAAATTCCAAATGTTGACTAGAGTTTATTGTTGTTGTTGATGTTACTCAACAAAAAAACAAAATGATGTAAGCTAGGAAGAAGTGGTCATGAAATTTCCTCATTTCACTAATAACCACCTGTAATCACATGTACAGAAAGCGAATTCAGGCAAATTAATTAAAAATAAATTAAATAAATAAGGCAAACTTTCAAAATTTCACACCACAACAAATAACCAACCAATGAAGGCGAAAAATTCAACCGACGATTTGCACTACTTATATTCTCTATTAAGTAGTTCATTTTTGAAATGCGAAAAAAAACAAGAACGACATTGGACATTTCCAATAGTCCAAATTTAAACAAAAAAAAGAAAATGGGAATGTTTCAAAGATTTCAAAAACAATTAAACTCATAATATGGCAAGACCAGTGTACTATCACTCCCCTTAGCTTGTGTCCCCGTCGCTCCACTCACACATAGTGCTGTCCACGCATCCCTCGCCCACCACATACACCAATATCCTACCGTTTAGTGTGTCCTAACTCTGCTTTTCAAATGCCTCGCCTCTTACTCTGTCTCCTGTTAAGCTTTTCGCCCACTATCATGCACAAAAAATGAAACATACCCCTTAATAAAGACGCAATTCCATAACCAACGGTAACGTGCAAATCCCTGTCGCGGCTTACTATGTCCTTGTCCCTAGTGGTCTCGCCTAGAAAATTTTAGAACCTCTTAAGTGTTGTTCCCTGTCCACTTTACTTCTATCTATTATTGTTAATCTTACCTTTTTACATCTATCACTATCCACACTTAGCTGAATTCGTCCTTTCTCGCTGGACATCGGTCCCGCATTGACACCGGTTCAGGGTTATTTAGTCCGTATCTACATTGACTGGATCCAACTTTCACCAACATGACCCACTTCTCCCTCCTTAGACACTATTACATCATCTATTTGTTTTTTTGTGAGTACAAACATAACAAACCTAAAACCACAACACAGTACTACTTCTAGTCAAGCATATTTTGGACAATGTGTCACCGTGTTCATATATTCTACTACTTGCCTAAATCTGGTGTTAGCCTAACCTTCCGACGGATTCTTCATCCTCACAAACCAAGCTTATCAGAAACTCGTAGTATGTGGTCCCCCCCCCCCCGCCGTACGTTGCCCCTACAACGAACATACGATCTCATTAACCTCTCACTTAGGACTACAAACCTCAACACAGAATCAGTGACCTGACCCCCACAGCTATGATGAGGCATCCTCCTGGCCCTATAAAACCTATTCCTAACACACTACCACAAAACATAAGTACCTGTACGACGCCAGTCCGGTGGTCTTAACGGGCATCACGCAAGCTCACAGTTGATCCCCCACACAACCACAACCCCTCACAGACTCGATTGAAGTTTATCAAACACTTACATCCCACACAGATAATGATTCCTGCCCAACATATCTCTAAGCCTTAGCCACCCAACTTTCTTTTTAACTAGCAAGCGTTCGCTCCACTCGGTCTGTCCTCAGGAACTATACGAGATCAATACTACTGGAAGCCACACACCTGACTCGAATCGCAAAAATCCCGGTCATCAACCTATAATAAGTCTATCCCTACTCTCATGTAGCGCACCTACTCCGGCCCTTTCAACAGCCACTAACACAGTCTTACAGCACGGAGCGAATTACTGCACAGTATACTCGTTCTTTGGTTAGCAAACGGATATCTCACCTGCGCCATAATTGACGCAGGTTGGCAAAAGCCAATCGAGCCTTCTGTATCGGTGCTGAGATTTCGTCAATCACCAGGCCATCAGCACTGGTGAAACTCCCATGATAAATGAAGCGGTCAACACACTCGACTGCTTCACTCCCTATCATCTTATTGCTAATGGAATTCACAATTACACAAGATTAGTCATGTGTTATTATGTGTACGGTAAACGTTTTCTTTGAGGCGGGCGAACGAATTCTCAATACAGAACGAATTAGAATCAACACTATCTAATCTACAGATGCAATTGATAGGTATATTTTCAGATAGAGCTTTGGAAATTTGTGTTTTTACACATTTGAAATCATCAACCAAATCATTGTTAGACCAACATCAAAAACCTGGAAGCACTGAAAGACGGCCGTTTCGTCCTGGTATGGGACTCATCAGTGTGCAGTGCGCATCCACGACTCCTGCACCTCGCAGGATTCGAAAACTTGGGACCTTCGGCATTGTGCGCGAACGCCTAACCATCGGACCAGTCTCTTATCGAAATAAATCAATAAGAAATAACTTAGTTTAAAAACAATTAGGATGTGTATGCTTATGTCGAAGGTTGACGTAAAAAAAGGGCACTGAATCTGAAGATATTAGTTCAAATAATCAGTCTACTAGGGATTTTCACGCTTAAACAAATTAAGAATGCTTAGGATCCGAAACTGCTGCTGTCTATGAGTTTTGTATCCAAAGACATTCAATTAGTAGTTTTATTTCAGAGTATTCTAGCTATTTTAGGATTTTTTTTCTTGTTCAAGCATACTTAGTTCATATATACATAGTAAAGTAGCTTGACATTGAAAATCATACAATATACGTTAATTATGTGTACATCACTGATATATATTCCATACATTGTAAGTGTAAATTCTATTGGTCGATTCCCATTGGTCAATATTATGGTCGTCCTAACTATCATTGTCACATACTTCAATGTTGACTCCTATTGATCGTACTGACTGTCAATGTCACTTCAAATGTTGTTTCCTATTAGTCGTTTTAATCGTCAATGTCACAAACTTCAATGCTGTTTCCTATTCGACCTAAATGTATAAATACGCATTATCTCCAAACGCGGATCTCTACTCCGAGATCCTGATTCTCTTCCGGACTCGGACTTCGTACTTCTGGATGTTTGCAGAATACAGGTTCTACTCTATATCAAGTCTTGCTCTTTTACTCAATGGTGGGTCGGAACACCCGGATTAGAGTAGCATGTCGTTTCGCTGGATCCTTGATCCTCGCTCTCGTATTCCGTCCGACTAAGATAAATTCGTAATAGTTCAAGCATATGAAAATGACATGTTTACTTGCAAGCGTAGCAGGTATATCAAGACTTTTTTCTACTGATTCACAGAATAAGATTTATTCGCTTTGATTTATTTGATCAGATAATCTCTGCGTATAATGTAACTTATTTGAAATTACTCAAAATACTGTTAAAATTAACAGTGAAGCTTTATATCTTTTTCAATTATCAGAAATAAAACGTTTTATCAGTTTTTTATTATATAAATTTACCCTGTACTGTCAAGGGCAATTTAACATTGGTTTTCAGGAGACTGCTCATGTGTTACCATTTCTATATGAACAGTTCGGCTCAATCCAGTGGTGCAACACCAAACAGGTACCTGATACCCTGGTGGACCATTCACACCATTTATATACACTAGTACATATATATAGTGATTATTTCCGATCCATGATCGCGTCAATCAATATGCACCGCATGAACAGGCCAATTCGACCCATCCCGCTTAACATGACTGTCAAACTCATGATTATTAGTAATGACGATATGCCGCTATACAGCACCCCGATGACAATGAGTCTCAGTAATGTTGCAAACCAACCACCATCGAGATCAATGAAATCGGTTACCCTACTGACCAAATCTGTATATGGACTGTTAGTGATGCTTGCGAAAGAAATGCCAAGCCCATCCATAATGTTCTTCACAGAGAACCTCTGCTCTCATAGCTCTCTATATATAACAGTATAGCATACGGTGTAACATACATATATGGCGTAGGATAGTAGAAGAAGCAGTCCAGCTTAATGCAAATAAGCCCAAAACACTACTAATTACCCTTTGTCTCATGTTGGGCAATAATTTTTTAGTGTTTAAGAAATGTTCATTTTTCGACCATATGATGAGATCTGAGTTAGGGGTAGTATCCCTGAAGAAAAACCTTTGGAGATGTTTAAATAATGTAAATTTTATTATGACCCGCCTCGAGTTTATTTCAAAGTCTCAAGAAAACACAAACATGATATTCCTATAGTTTTCTATTGAAAACATTTATTTTATGAACAAAAGAACAATAATTTATCACAGTCTTGGAATTAAAAAAATCAATATTGATTGAACTGTGTGCTTTCCAGCTGCCTTTCTCTTGTTGAAATGGGTGTTATATATATGTGTATATATAATAATTTTCTTAAAAATTCAACTCATTAACTCTGACATTTGTGATTGATTGATTGATAACAGAACGAAAATTGAAACCATAACCCTGTTGTTGTAATAAACCCGTTCACCATAGATCAAAAAATTCAAAATTGCTTGACATGTTCTTTTTTATGATTTGCTCTGTAAGTGTACAATATTAGAAAAATTATATTTAATCAAAACACTTAAACTACTTATAAAAATAAATCAGTAGAATAATTAGTTGCTGGAAAAAAAAACTTACATCATTTGATTTAGTTGGATTTGTTTCAGTTAAACTTTTACGTGATAATAATGAATTGAAAAAGCTACTTAATACAGCTTCTTTGTCGGAGGATGCACCCGGTTTAGACTGATTTGATGCAGATGATGAGGAAGAAAGAGTTTCAGTTAATAACTGGAAAAGTAAAAAATAAAAAAAATTGAAAAATAGTTTATGTAGCAAGCAAATGAAGTAAAAATCAAAGCGCTTTCCATCAACTACTTTTCTCATTAACACAGAAAGTGTAATGACAACAACAACAAAGGCATCACTCTACTGTTAATTCTGAGGCAAGTAAGTCTTTGACAAAGAAGTCGTTGTTGTCTAATCGAGTGAAAGATTCTTCATTAAACCCCCCTGAATTCAAGATCTGCAAGGCTGCATTTCATAGCGACACTACTATAGGTCATTCATTGTTTAACAATCAGTTGAATGTCATTCACCATTATACTTTTACTTCATTGAATACGAGGAAACAAATGACAGCATGGACAAGTGGACACTATAGAGGCTCCTTCAACGCCATGATGTACCTGAGAAGATTGTCAACATTTAATAAAGCAACTTTTGCGATAGATTAAACTACAAACTCTTGCATGGAGATCAAGTAACAGATTCGTTTCAACTGAAGACTGATGTCAGGCAAGCTTGCTTGCTTGCTCTCACTATTTCTCTTTATTCTAGTGGTTGATTTGTGAACTATGTGGACTGTTAACATCTGGGAGGAAGCATGGAGACAGTCCGGATACAGCTTGACGATCTTCACTTCCAAAAAAGATCTAGCCCATATATCGTACACGGAAAAAACAAATACATCAGAAGAAGACCAATTTATTGGCAGTATGTGCAGCAGCAGGTTTCAACATACACAGGAAAAAGCAAGATCCTTCTTTCTACAAGACACAACATGCATTAACCGAGTCGCATTCGATGGAGAAGCTTTGTAAGATTTTAAAAACCTTTACATATCTGTGCAACATCGTCGTTGAGCAAGATCAATCTGATGAAGATGTCAAGACATGGATTAGCAGTGCAAGAGTAGCATTTCTCCAACTGAAGAACATTTGGAACTCAAAACAACTATCATTAAACATCAGTGTCTAAATTTTCAAGACAAATATCAAGACAGTTGAACGAAAGCCATCATCGGAAAAACACTGACGTTATTTTATAGTTACCTACACAAAAGACCTAACATCATCAACAAACTACTATATGGAAGAGAAACTAGAGTCCAACAGAGGAAGAAATTAGGATAGGACGCAAGTTGAAGAAAACACTCAAATGCGTGATGAAAAGAAAAGTCCTAGTTTAGAATACTCAAGGCCAAAGGGAAGATCAAAGAACACATTACGCCTATAGTGAAGGAGAACACAGGTGAGGGCAACCGAATTGTATTTAACGAAAATTACAGAGTTACTTAGTAAAATCGGAAAACCATATCGCGTAAATCGTTAATTTGCAAATCTTCAATCCATCATCAATCCATTGTCTGACATTTCACTTATATTCATGCGTTTCATACAAATTCCATTGTGTTCCCACTCTACTTCCTTTCTCTTGATCTTCCCCCATCTTCTGCTGCCAAACATTACGTTGACACTCGCGTTATATACTACTAATAAGTAGCGCTCACCACACGCCGAGACATGGAGACGCAACACGTAAAGAATGAACAACAGTTCAGTAGTAGTACTAGAAAACTAGGCTAAGGACAGAAGAGGTTGGCGAATGCTGGTTTCTGCGGCGGCTGCCTATGCTCTCCACCATTAGAGGGGTAACAAGCGTAATTCATCAAGTATTAAGTGTGTACTCCCAATCACCAATCATCACCAACTATTTTACTCTGCAGAATATTATTGATATTTCATGAATGATAACTTACTGGTGATTCCCTTGACTGACTAGTTATTGTTGTTGAATCAACTGATGTTGTGGTTGTTGTTGCTGTACCAGTTAAACTGCTTGATAATGCTGTTGAACTTGTTACAGTTTGCGGCATATTTGGCATATTCACTAACATTGTTTGCATTCTTTTTAAAAATTGTTGATCATCTTCAATAGTTTGTAAAATATTCACTTCTTCTTGTGTTGGATTCGTAGTAGTATCACCTGATTTAGTTACTGTATTGGGAAATAAAGAGAAGAAAATTTTAGTAATCAAAGTTATCCTGACATTCGTTATTTGATGCGAACGACTAACCCTTCTGGACCACTGAGCCCGCCGGTATCTAACGGTGTTAATGTGACTTGACTGACTTCAATCAATTCACGGAGTTGTGCAACCCTCATACACTGTTGTATTTGATAGTAGTTACTGTCTAAAGCCGAACAGGTTGAACTTCACTGGCCACAACTTCGCACTAGAACTCGGAGAAGATTCCTCACAGAGCTAGTCACTAATGAGCACAGGTAATTGTATTACGGAGTTGGGAGATTGTTAAGTTACACATTTTTTGAAATCATGAATCGATGAATGTTAGACCACGATTAGAAACCTGGAAGCACTGGATGTCAGTTCCGTCCTGGTATGGAACTCATCAGTAGCACGTCGTAAGATTTGAACCCAGGACCTTCGGTTTTGGGCGTGAACGCCTGACCTCTAGACCACTGAGCCAGTATCTAAAGGTGTTAATGTCTAACTTCGATCAATTCACGGTCTTGCGCAATCTCATACTCTGTCTATCTATCAAGACTTCATGTCACTTGTCGTTAGTGAAATAGTAGTGATCAATCTTTATTGAATGATGAAGTCGCTGTGTTTTCAGTTCATTTCAAGTTAAAATATGAGATCGAGTTAAATGTCTTTCAACCGGCATAAGATATCAAGTTCAAGCCTTCTGATACATTTGAATTTTTTGCTACCGCTACTACCACTATTACTACTTCTATTACTACTCCAACTACCACGACTACTACTACTGCTACTACCACTACTATTACTGTTACTATTACGAGAGCTTTCTAGCATTTTTTTCAATGTTCACTAATACTCTAACATCAACAATCCATAAATCAAACTATCCACAAATCTAATCGATCTCTTTAATTTGAATTATTTTTTTCTGTTTAGCGTAGTAGCAGCCTCAGAAGCAGTAGCTTTCAACAGATAGAAGGGAAAAAGTTAAATTCTTCAATACAACACAGCATACACGAACCCAATCACACATGATGAAGATGCCTTAAAGGATTTTGAAAGCTTTATATATCTAGGCAGCATCACTGATGAGCAAGATGAATCTGATGTAGATGTGAAGACATGGATTTGCAAAACAATTGAAGGACATCCGCAAATCAAAACCACGATCAGAGTTTTCATTACAAACGTCAAGACAGTTAGTTCTACCATATGCGGTAGAAATGTTGAGAACTACCAAAGCCATTATCCAAAAAGATACAAGTATTTATCAACAGTTGTCTACGTAAGAAACAGAGGATCCATTGGCTAGACATCACCAGCCTACAGCTTACTATGGGACAGAACAACAAACCAGATCACAGCGGAGGAAGAAGTCATGAAGAAGCTCTGGGCGTGTATAGGACACACATTTAGGAAAGTAACCAACTGTATCCACAAGGCAAGCACTCACTTCGAATTCTCATATGTCAAAGGAAAGGTGGAATAGAGAGAAATACACATTACACTGAGAATTAGAAGTAAACATGATAGAACTGCGAAAGAAGGCCAATGACTGACTGCGTAGGTCGAAGAATGCTAGTCAGCGCGACCTATGTATGCTCCACATTTTGGGTTAACAGGAGTGTAAGCAAGCCGTCACTTACTTACTAATCAGCATAACACACACATTAAGATACTGATGTAATCATTATCGTATAACTCTTTCGTTGATGAATTATAAGATTTAAATGAAAATAAAAACATACCACAAGATGTTTTTCTTCTTAACTTTGATGGTTTTGTAATAATTTGATTATAACTACGATCAATTAAATTTGATGATAAATTCTTTTTGAATAATTCCAATCGATGTAAACTATCCCAACCAGCAGGTCTTCAATGAAATGGTCAAATGGAAAAAAAGTTAGTTAATGAAACGTGGAATCAGTGTTATTTTATTTAACAACAACAACAACAACAAATAAACGAAACTTTAAAAGTTGCATGATGCAGAAATCATGTTTATCGAAAATCGATAAATGCCTAAAGTCGATGAGATTCAAAATGAAAGTTTGATTCCTAAGCAATAATACGCTATAGAATAGCTGTTTTTGTTACAGGACGTTTAAGAATTAATAAATGTCAGTTAGTATTATTGTTAAACTAAGATATTCTCTTTATTCTATATGATATACCCGAGGTGGCCAGATCAAGACATGGCACAAATTAAATGGAGTCATTGATAACTAGACTGTGAGTCATGTTAGTAAATGTAGACTATTTGGTTGATGTCCACGAGACAATAGTAATCGATAGTTAGAGACTCCTCTGGATGACATGGTTCGAAATCGTTTGTAATAGCACAGATGCATTTATTGTTTGTGTTCTCTCAAATTCGAATCTTCTGAATTTCTTCATGACCTTTATCTGTCGCTCTTTTAAATTTATTTCACTTACTTACTTACGCCTGTTACCCCCAACGGAGTATTGGCCGCCCACTAGTTTTCTCCAACCAACTCTGTCCTGGGCTTCCCTTTCCAATTCTGTCCAATTTTTGTTCATTCCTCTCATATCTTTCTCTATTTCTCGGTGTAATGTGTTCATTGGCCATCCTCTCTTCCTTTTGCCTTGAGGGTTCCATGTGAGGGCTGGCCTTGTGACGCAGTTAGGTGCTTTTCGTAGTGTGTGTCCTATCCACCAACTCCACCGCTTCTTCCTGGTTTCCTCCTCCACTGGAATCTGGATTGTTCTCTCCCACAGTAGGTTGATGCTGATGGTGTGTGGCCAATGAATCCGAAGTATTTTGCATAGACAACTGTTAATAAACACTTGTATCTTCTGGATGATGACTTTCGTAGTTCAGTTGTCCAAGTTTCCGCTCCATACAGCAGAACTGTCTTCACATTTGTATTGAAAATGCTGATTTTGGTTTTGGTTGAAAGTTGTTTGGAGTTCCAGATATTTTTCAAATGTAGAAATACAGCCCTTGCTTTGCCAATCCTCACCCTCACATCTGCATCGAATCCACCTTGATTGTCGATGATGCTGTCCAGATATGTAAAGGTGTTAACGTACTCCAAAGCATCTCGATCAAGAGTGATTTGGTTGGTGCATGTTGTGTTGCATCGGAGAATTTTGTTTTCCTTTATGTAGTATGTTGAGACCTACTGCTGCGGAGGCTGCTGCTACACTTGTCGTCTTCTGTTGCATTTGTTGTTGTGTGTGTGATACAAGAGCCAGGTCATCTGCGAAGTCCAGATCATCCATCTTATTTTAATCAAGCTTACTGGATTATAGTTTCAGTATGAACATGAGCACTGAATATTCAAGTACATCAAGCTCAACCAGTCTCAAATGTTTCAACTTTTAGGGGGTTATTTGAATGCTCTAATAATGTGTATTCCCCTGTCATTCTTAAATTCAAATCGCGTTTAAATTATAATACTAATTATCAGAATACTGATTGACTTTTATTAAACTATTTCAATCTTCTCGTGTAGACCAGCTGCAGGTAGATCACTAGCTGCTCACATGCTAGCAAACTAACCGCCGAAACCGTACAAAGTACGACCCTGGCGTTTCAGAGCGTACACAATATCCATAGCTGTCATTGTCTTCCGCTTAGCATGTTCCGTGTAGGTGACTGCATCACGGATCACATTCTCCAGAAATACCTTCAGAACACCACCAGTCTCCTCGTAGATCAGTCCGGAAATGCGCTCCAAACCACCACGAGCGAGCAGGCTTCATGATGCCCTGGATGTTGTCACGTAAGACCTTGCGATGTCTCTTCGCTCCACCTTTGCCCAAACCTTTACCACCTTTTCCTCGACCTGACATGTTCTAGATTGATGCACAATTAGACTTGCCAACCGGCACGAGTAATAATAATAATAATACACAACATATATGTCACATTATAAAGTTCTTGAAATAGTTGAGTTTCATTAAAATTATAGAACAACCATTAAAAGTCTGGGAGAACTGAATGCCAGGGTCGTTCTAGTATGGAACTCGTTAGCAGTGCGCATCTGCAACACAACTTCTAGATCACTCAACCGGCATCCAACGGTTTTGTGGTGGTGTTTCGTTCTCTGAGCTGGTTGTTTTGGTTGTGGAGCTTTCATTGTTCTTCTGAACAACATCAGCACAAACTTCAGACTACTGAAAGCATTTGGAATAGCTGTAGCACACAAACCAACAGAATCACTTCAATCAATCCTCTGTTGTAGACCAAAGGACAAAATGACAAAGGAAGAAAAACCAAATATCATCTACAAAATAAACAACTGCTCAAACTGTGAAAAACACTACATAGGACAAAGTGGACGACCTCTTCAGCTCCGTTTACGTGAACTTCAATTAGCAGTCAAACGTCACGACAACGCTTCGCTTATCTCAATACACACTGACAATTATGGACACACATTCGATTGGAACAATGTGGAAATACTGGGTAGGGGGAGGCCAAAGAACACTAAAGAATTTTTAGAAGCTTAGCACTCAGGTCAATCAGCAATCGACAAACACATCGACATTAACCCAATTTATCAACCAATCAGAAAAATCATAGGTGACATAGGATCAAGAAACAGATCAAAAGGGGGATGCAATCAAAACAAAGTTGCAAACAACGACAGGTCAAAAGTCAACAGCAACCAATCAAGATCGAGGTTAGCAGAACAAGCTACAGGTCAAACGTGGAGAAATTCGAATGCTTCACTTCTATCTGAAGTTTGTGCTGATGATGTTGTTCAGCAGAAGAACAATGAAAGCTCCACAACCAAGACAACCAGCTCACAGAACGAAACACCACCACAATCATCCACCTGAGCTAAAATTTTTCTCCACCATCTCAAAACCCAACGGTTTTATTATCCAACTTCAATCTATTCACAGTATGGTACGACCTCATCAATTGTATTTGGTGCGTAACTCATCCCTCATACTCGACACAGCTCAACCCGACTGGTCATTGTTTCTCATTGGAACTCCGAGAATGTGACTTCACTGTTATAGAAAGTAATTACGTAACATCCTTTTGTCAGAGTTGATGACTTTGTATGACTGATTATCTGGACTACAGCTGATCAAAATCTTTATTGGTAGGTAGTTTTTACATCCAAAATGAATTTTATTCAGTAAAACAACGTTTAATCATACAATGTAGTGATGACTAGCTATGAAATCCAACATATATAATATATACTTCATTTGTTTATTTGAAACTGATCAACTTAGTAATTCAGTATTGAAAGTTATTGTGTTGATATGTTTTTAAAGTTCAGTGTATCAATAATACAAGGCCTCCATGAGTTGAATGGACAGAAAAAATGCAATGGCGCATTTGAAGTGTGCATAGTTACGAGTTCAAGTTTCGCAGTGTTTGGTCGATTAATTTTTGCATTAAGAATAATATGGAGAAGGTAGTTTAACCCTGAAATCATGGTTGAATCATTATTAGACCAGTATTAAAAACCTAGAAACACTGGGTAGCCATTTCGTCCTGTTATGCGACTCATCAGCAGTGCGTAACGATAACCTAAATCCAGAACCTTCGGTCGCACGCATAAACACTTAACCTCTAGACAAATGAGCCAGCATCCAAAGGTAAGTAACTTCCACACGCAATAAGATTAAAATCCATTGTTCGTAGCTTTTTACTCAGTTAGTCAGTCAGATGCGATGTAGAACTTCGTACGTAAGTACATCAGTTCATGTCGCCATGCCACGTCAGCACAGAGATGTAATTGTCAATTCAAATCCAATGGTAGTAGAGGTGGTAAAGGTATTAGCAGTAATTATAGAGGTTAGGATTAGAAGATATTATTCAAGAAGTATGATTCAGTGAGAAAAGTTTAGAAAGTCAAAACTAGAGGGATTGAAGAATCCAGAAGATTAGGATTTGAGAAAACACAAAGAATAAATGCACCGGCGCCATTGCGCCAACGATTTTGAGCCATGTCATTCAAGGTATCTAACCATCGATTATTATCATCTCGCGAACCCCAACCAGGTGGTAGTCGACAACTACCGACATGACTCAGTCCACTTGTCAGTCAGTGACTTCATGGATTTCTGCCATGTTTTGGTTTGACCGAAATCCATGACGTTACTGACGAGTGGACCTATTAGCCATGTCGTTTTATTTCACTAGAACTCTGCGAATTCCATCATGGAGCTAGTCCCTAGTAAGCACATGACAATTGTCATTATATGGCTGTGGAGGTTATTGAGTATCATGGGTATATATATATATATATATATATATATATATATATATATGTACTTATAACAACTGGACAGTTAGGACGCAGCTGGACGATCTGGACTTCGCAAATGACCTGGCTCTTCGATCGGACACACAACAACAAATGCAAGAGAAGACGACCAGTGTAGCAGCAGTCTCTGCAGCAGTAGGTCTCAACATACTCCAAAAAGGAAAAAGCAAAATACTCCAATGCAACACAACATGCACCAACCAAATCACTCTTGATGGAGATGCCTTGGAGGACGTTAACACCTTTACATATCTGGGCAGCATCGTCGACAATCAAGGTGGATCCGATGCAGATATGAGAGCGCGGATTGACAAAGTAAGGGCTGCATTTCTACAGTTGAAAAATGTCCGGAACTCTTAACAACTTTCAACCAAAATCAAAATCAGGATTTTCAATACAAATGTGACAACAGTTCTATTGTATGGAGCAGAAACTTGGAGAACTACGAAAGGCATCATCCAGAAGATACAAGTGTTTAATAACAGTTGTCTACACAAAATACTTCGTATTCGTTGGCTAGACAACATCAGCAACAACGAAGTGTGGGAGAGAACAAACCAGATTGCAGTGGAGGAGGAAATCAGGAAGAAGCGGTGGAGTTGGTGGATAGGACGCACACTACGAAAAGCACCTACAACTGCGTCACGAGACAAGCCCTCACATGGAACCCTCAAGGTAAAAGGAAAAGATGAAGGCCAATGAACACATTACACGCCGAGAAATAGAGAAAGACATCAGAAGAATGTACAGAAAATTGGACAGAACTGGAGAGGGAAGCCCATGACAGAGTTGGTTGGAGAAAACTGGTCGGTGGCCTATGCTCCTCTATTGTGGGTAACAGACGAATGTAAGTAAGTAATGTACTCATAAACATTGTATTGAACAAGAAATATCCATAAAAAATGTTTAGAACTTACATAAAAATTGCTTTCGGATCAATTAACATTGCAGAATTTTTCAATGGTAAATCAAATAAACGATGTTTAATATAATTGACCAATATGTTTGTATTGATATCTTCTTTAATTGAAATATAAATCAAAGCGGCTCCATCTTATTGAGTGGTTGTTTTTGTTTTAAGGATTTTATTTAAGGCAATGACAACAAACAGTTGATGATTATTAATGATATTGGTAAATAGCTGAAATTCATATTCACTTCGTCAATTTTGTAGAAAGATATTTTTGAAACCATGAATCGATGATCAAAGTTAGACCAATACCATTAGAAAACTGGAAGTACTGAAAGACGACCGTTTCGTCCTGTTATGGGACTCATCAACTGAGAGGATATACGAAGTTAGACATGAATTCTGTTATATAGCGTCATAGTGATCCAGAGGTTAGGCGTTCGCGTGGAAGACCGGAGGTCACGGGTTTGACTCCTGTGAGGTGCAATAGTCATGCATGCACACTACTGATGAGTAGTCTCATACTAGGGTGAAATGGCCGTCTTTCGGTGGTTCCAGGTTTCTAATAGTGATGTCTAACTAACATTGATCGATTCATGATTTCTAAAATATCTCTTTACAAAATTGACCAAGTGAATATGAGTTTTTAGCTATTTACCAATATCCATCATCATCTGTTTAAGAATATTAAAGATTCCCATGGTGAAAATTAGAACAACACCGATATAAGTGAACAATTATTGTTGTTTTTGATTAGATCTGTGGTGCGCGCTACTTATAAGTAGTATATGACGTGAATGTAAACGTAATGTCTGGCAGCAGAAGATGGGGGAAGATCAAGAAAGGAAGGATGGGAACACGATGGAATTTGTATGAAACGCATGAATAGTGAACTGTCAGACAATGGATTGATGATGGATTGAAGATTTGCAAATTTCACCGTTTACGATATGGTTTTCCTATTTTACTGAGTAACTCTGTAATTTTCGTTAAATACAATTCGGTTGCCCTCACCTGTGTTCTCCTTCACTACAGATCGTCATCAGGCTTAACTTTCTCTAATATACATGAATATTTATATATGAACATGTTAAACCAATCAAGGCGATTTGAGTCAATAATCACAATGAAATGAAAATAGAGATTACGTCACTATATACATTTAATAGGCAAAAGTACACAAGTTGATAACAGTAGGAAGACAGGTGAGTACTGATAGTAGTAAGAAAATTATAAAATATGATAACTAAAGTTTTATCATTAGTAGGTCAAACCGTGGATAAAGAGACTTAAAAATTATATCGGGCGTACTAACAGGCAACTTAACCAACGAATAAGTGAACATCTCCCCGAGCATGGTGTACGAAGAGTTAGTCAAAAACAATACGCAGCTCTATCTTAGCACATCTGGTAAGATAGTGGTCACCTTGTAGATAAATCTAGATCTTTTCGGGTGATCATCTATCGTATACCTCCATCATTTCCCAATGGAGTTCGATCACGTCTCATACACATTGCGGAAGCCATAGGAATACGTACATTCAACCCTAATTTATGTGTTCAAAAGAAATTCGTGACGCACCTATCTCTTCCGTGGCCGGATATGACGTAACTAACGATTGGACATTATATATTTTTTTTATCTTATTTTTTTCATTTTTACACATTTGCTTATTACGTAATGGTTTTGATGTTTTTTGATGATTATTTGAAGTCTATTTATCCACGGTTTGACTTACTATTGTGATAAAACTTTAGTTATCATATTTTATAATTTTCTTACTACTTACTATCAGTACACCTGTTTTCCTATTATCCACTTGAACTTTTGCCTACTAGATATAGTTACGTAATCTTTTTCATTTCATTGTGATTATTGACTCAAATCGCCTTGATTTGTTTAACATTTTCATATATAAATATTCATGTATATTAGAAAGAGAGTAAAGCCTGATGACGATCTAATTGAAAACAACGATATTGTTCGCGTATTATCTGTGTTGTTCCAATTTTCACCATGGAAATATTTAATATTCTTAAATAGATGATGATTATTGATATTGGTAAATAGCTGAAATTCATATTCACTTGGTCAATTTTGTAGAGAGACATTTTTGAAATCATGAATCGATCAATGTTAGTTAGACATCACTATTAGAAACCTGGAACCACCGAAAGACGGCCATTTCATCCCGGTACGGAACTACTCATCAGTAGTGTGCATGCACGACTTTTGCACCTCACAGAAGTCAAACCCGTGACCTCCAGTCTTGCTCGCGAACGCCTAACCTCTGTACCACTATGACGCTATCTAACGGAATTCACGTCTAACTTCGTATATACGCTCAGTTGATGAGTCCCATAAACAGGACGAAACAGTCGTCTTCCAGTGCTTCCAGGTTTCTAATAGTGATGGTCTAACTTTGATCATCAATTCATGATTTCAAAAATGTGTAACTTAATAACATTATTCACAACCCTATAATATAATTTGTAGATAGATATATCTCAATATTACCAATATGATCGACAATAATAATTTTGTGTAAATTTATCACCGGAAAAAAAGGATACATTCAAGGCATAATTTACGTAGATGAAATAGAATAAAATCAAATTTCTCATCATTAAATCCATATTCTTTTTCAAGCATATCAGTCATATCGGTCTACAATAAATAATAAGGAAAAAGAGAGAGAATTAAAAACAACAAGAAATCATTTTTTTTATTGTAGTAAGAATATGAAGATTGTAGAGTGTTACAACTGCACGTAAAACACATCAACTTGGTATACTTGAACTATAATACGAGTTTACCCCTTAGTCGGAAAACGCAAGAGCGAGGATCGAGGATCCGGTGACACGACATGCTGCTACTCTAATCCGATTATCCCAGCCCCCCATAATGAGTAAAAATAAGAAGACTTGAATGTGAAGGAGAACCTGGATTCTACAAACATCCAGAAAGTATGAGGTGTGAATCCAGAAGAGAATCAGGATCCCTGATAAGGGATCCGGGACCGGGCCCTGGTCGTGGTCATAAAACGTTACAGATAATGCGCATTTATACATTTTGGTCGGATAGGAAACAGCGTCGAAGTCTGTGACATTGATAGTTAAGACGACCAATAAGAACCAACATTTGAAATGACATTGACAGTCCGGACGACCAATAACAGACAACATTAAAGTATTTGACCTTGACAGTTTGGAAGACGATAATTTTGACCAACAGAAATCGACCAATAGGATTTAACGAATAATTCTCTTAGGATATTGGATGAATATCCTAACATAAAGTTTCTTTCGAAATTAAAGAATCGGGATCAATGTTAGATAACTATTAGAATGTAACGCGCACAAGCATTGGATGCCAATTTTTTTCCCAGTAAAGGACTGACTGATTTATCAGTAGTGAGCATCCGCAACTCCAGCTTATGGGAATCGAATCTAGAACTTAGGATTTCGTGTGTGCTAACGCTTGTCTGTCTAACTTTTTCTAATGCAAGGTTGGATGTCAGCTCAATGGTCTTCTAGAGGTTAGGCATTTGCGCATGAGACCGAAAGTTTTGCTTTCAATTAACGGAAGTAAGGATCGTGGATGCGCATTGCTGACGAGTCCTATACTAAAGAAAAATGGCTATCCAATGCTTCCAGGTTTCTAATATGGTAATCTTACAATGATTGATTCATAATTTCGATTTAAAATAAAAAGTTATTTCGTGAATTTCAGTAATTTTTATGAAATCAAGAAAGTTTTAGATAATCTCCTGACATTGTATTGTTTTTAAAACATTTCTTCTGATCATTTATTTAGCGACCTTGAATGACATGGCCACTCAAAATTGTGTGCAATGGCTCAGGTGCAGTCATTCTTATTTGTCTTCTGTCGAATTCCAGACAGAAGACACCTCTAGTTTTGACTTTCTAAACTTTTCTCACTGAATCATGATACTTCTTGAATAATATCTTCTAATCCTTAACCTCTCCGATTACTTCTTATTTACCTTTACTACCTCTACTACTATTGGATTTGAATTGACAATTACATCTCTGTGTGCTAATGTGGTATGGCAACATGAACTGATGTATTTGCCTACGAAGTTCTACGTTGCATCTGACCGACTGACTGTCAAATTCACTACTTCATCTATCGATCTGCCATTCTTACCTAGAACTCGTTTCCTAACGACAGCATTGATTACTCGGTTGTCCCACGATATACGAGCAACGCTTCGAAGACACCTATGATCGAAAACCAGTAACCTACGAATCCATATAGGAGAACGGAACCAAGTGCTGCGTAGTATACTCGTCCTTTGGTTAGCGAACGGATATCTTGCCTACGCCATAAGTGACGCAGGTTGGCAAAAGCCAATCGAGCCTTCTGTATCCGAGCTGAGATTTCGTCAGTCACCAGGCTATCAGCACTGATGAAACTCCCCAGATACGCGAAGCATTCTACACGTTCGACTACTTCACTCCCTATCACTAGTTTAGGTGCCGATGCAACCCAATCTGGAAGCAACATTTTGCATTTCGAGAGTGAGAACCGCATCCCGAACATGCTTGCATTGTTGCTCAGGGTAGTCAGAAGACTCTGCATTTCACCAAGTAAGACTATGTATGTATGTATGTATATATAACCATCGAGACTTTTCAGTTATCAAGTTTGACATCCGACAACAGTGCACAAATAGCACTATACAATGAATTTTACATATAAAACATTTAAAAATAAACTACTGTTTACTACTCTTAATCTATACCACCTGTATTACATAATCAATGTCATATATGGATTGTTACACATTTTTGAAACCATAAATCGATCAATGTTAGACCACCGTTAGAAACCTGGAAGCACTGGACGGCCGTTTTGTCCTGGTATGTGACTCCTCGGCAGTGCGCATCCACGACTCCTGCACCCCACAGGATTCGAACCCAGAGCCTTCTGTATTGTGCGCGAACGTCCTAACCGTTAGACCACTGAGCCAGTATCCAACGGTGTTAATGTCTAACTTGATAAAATTCACGGAGTTGCGCAACCTCATACACAGTCTTCGGTGGACAGTGCCTACACCCGAACAGGTTGAACTTCACTGGTCACGTCTTCCCACTAGAACAATACCTAAGGTCCTGGGTTCGAATCCTGTGGGGTGCAGGAGTCGTGGATGCGCACTGCCGAGGAGTCACATACCACGACAAAACGGCCGTCTTTCAGTGCTGCCAGGTTTCTAATGGTGATGGTCTAACATTGATCGATTCATGGTTTCCGAAAAATGTGTAACTTAACAATCTTCACAACCCCGTATATGGATTGTGTTCAGTGGTTTTTCTCTCTAAAAATATCAAACAACTATTTGTTATACTCTATCTACTCATTTGCACAAGATCGGATTTTTTTTAATTTCACCATGATTGAAAAAAAGAATGTAAAAGAACGCCCAATAAAATTGAATCAAGAAAAAAAACAAATCTTGTTTAAATATGCACATTGATCAATAAGTGATTGAATGTACTATGTGAAATATATAATCAGTACTTAGCTTTTAAATTTCCCTCTCTTAAACTATTGTTTAAATTAAAAGGTTATTTTGAAGAGAAGATTTAGATAAATTTACACATCATTCAATGTTCAATTTCATTCATAGTTCTTCATATTAAGCAGAAATGATCAGTTTCTTGTTTATTCGGAAGAATATATCACAATCAAGATAGTCTGTGCTTTATAGGTTAACATGTGAAAGCTAATGAAAGTTGAGAAAACTGACTAAATTTTTTATGTATTGCTGAGGAGTCCAATGCCAGGTTGAAACGGCCGTCTTTCAGTGCTTCCAGGTTTCTAATGGTGTTGGTCTAACATTGATCGATTCATGTCCACCGAAGACTGTGTACGAGGTTGCGCAACTCCGTGAATTTGATCAAGTTAGACATTAACACAGTTAGACACCGGCTCAGTTTTCCGATTGGTCGGCGTTCGCGCACAATACAGAATGTCCTGGGTTCGAGTCCTGCAGGGTGCAGGAGTCGTGGATGCGCACTGCTGAAGAGTCCCATACCAGGACGAAACGGCCGTCTTTCAGTGCTTCCAGGTTTCTAATGGTGTTGGTCTTACTTTGATCGATTCATGGTTTCAAAACAAACTTGACAATCTTCACAACCCCGCAATACTAATTATTTGTATTGTTCTAACGATCATATTTCATTTTAAAAACTTTTTGTGTTTATTATGTAAGAGATTTCATGAATGATGTTATGTTTGATTATAACGCGATAGTTATACAGTTCTACTGTATGGAGTGGAGACTTGGAGAACTACGAAAGCCATTATCCAGACGATACAAGTGTTTATTAACAGTTTTCTACGCAAAATACTTCGGATTCGTTGGCCAGACAGCATCAGCAACAACGTACTGTGAGAGAGAACAAACCAGTTTGCAGTGGAGGAGGAGATGGGAAAGAAGTGGTGGAGTTGGTGGATAGGACACACACTACGAAAAGCACCTATAACTGTGTCACAAGACAAGCCCTCACATGGAACCCTCAAGGCAAAAGGAAAAGAGGAAGGCCAAGGAACACATTACGCCGAGAAATAAAGAGAAAGATATGAGAGGAATGAACAAACATTGGACAGAGTTGGAAAGGAAAGCGAAGGACAGAGTTGGTTGGAGAAAACTGGTGGGCGGCCTATGCTCCTCTATTGGGGGTAACAGGCGAAAGTAAGTAAGTAAGTAAGTTATACAAGAGAGTTTGAGAAATCTAATTAATTACGCAAGCTTATTACAGGGGACAGTGGTAAAAGAATATCTCAAAATCTGAATAAAAATTCATGATTTATAGAATTCATTCGTACATTGAAATCATTAGTCAATCACTGTTAGATCACCATTAGAAATCTGGAAGTACTGAAAGACGGCCATTTCGTCCTGGTATGTGAATCACCAGTGGCGATGCTCATCCAAGACTCCTGCACCTGGCAGGATTCGAACCCAGGACCTTCGGTATTGTGCGCGAACGCCTAACCTCTGGACCATTGGGCCGGTATCCAACTGTGTCAATGTCTAATACTGATCAACCTACAGATTTCGCGCAACCTCATCTATTTGTCTTTGGTAGTTACTATCTACACTTGACAGGATTACAGTAAGTCAATTATCAACAACTTAAAACCTAACATCTTTGTGTTCAAATGAGTAAAAGTTCTTCTCATATTAGCAAACTTCAGATGAAATTAACTAGATTAACTCAACAGATATGTGTATCAAAGAATTATACGCTTTACAGTGACCAATTTTAAGCTTTGTCTTACAATATATCTCTAACCAATATGCGCCAGTCATCCCATGAACCTTAATCACGTATTCTATACATCTACTCATATGGTCCCGACGAACAGACAGTCATTTTGTGAACTGATGTTACGTTTGTGTTTTAATGTTCATACTATCGAACAAACCCCTATAGAGAAAAGTGATAGATACTGACACGTTAGACATACTCTAATCAATTTTTATTCCATAAAGATTCTCCACATCGCCAGTCTGTCTGCCAGCTTTAGCTATTATCCCGGATTTTATCTCAAAAATTACTCAGTATATGATTCCGACAACCACAGACGATACATTAAAAAGTAATCTATGGCCAAATAATAGAATTCCATAAATATTCGCCATTTTCAAAGACCATATTTGGCATTCATGCCATGAGATTCTGAATGAACCAGTTTAAGAAGAAATCATGCTAACTCTTGAAAACTTGAATATTATAAATGATATCTTTTGTGCAAAAAAACGTATTCAGCTCACATTAGCTCATAACTTCAATACCCTAAAAAAGGAAAAAGTTGCTTGCTCTCCAGTTCTATTTTGAGATAGTGGAGAAAATTTGTAACTCAGTTGGATGATTATGATGGAGTTTTGTTCTCTGAACTGGAGATGTTGTTTTGGTTGTAGAGCTTTCAGCTCTGTTCTACTGAACAACATCAACCATTATAAAGAAACCTGGAAGTACTAGACGGCTATTTCGTCCTACTATGTAACTCATCATCAGCATTGCTCATCAACGAACCCTCTTCTCAGGAATCGAACCCAAAAACTTCGGTCCCGCCTAACCTCCAGACTACTGAACCAGGTTCAAATGTGTTAGGATATTCATCTAATATCCTCAGAGAATTCTTATTGGTTAATTCCTACTGGTCTATTTTATGGTTGTCCTAGACATCACTGTCACGTGTTTCTTATTGGTCATCCTGAATCTCAATGTCACTTCAAATGTTGCTTCTTATTGGTCGTCTTAACTGTTTCCTATTCGACCTAACTGTATAAAAACGCATTATCTGTAACGTTTTATGATCCGGATCCCTAGTCCGGGATCCTGTTTATCTTCTCGACTGGGACCTCGTACTTTCTGCACGCTTGTAAAATACATGTTCTACTTCATATCAAGTTTTCTTATTTTCACTTAATATGGGGGTTGGGATAATCGGATTAGAGAAGCGGCATGTCGTGTCACCGGATCCTCGATCCTCGCTCTCGTTTTCCGACTAAGGTATACTCGTAATAATAGTTCAAGTATATCAAGTTGACGTGCTCACGTGCAGGCGTAACAAAATAATAGTCTAACAATGATTGATTCACCATTTTCATTCAATGAAACACAACAAACTCTGTAACAAAAAACAGTATTTGACAATCTCATCAAGTAAAAAAAACTTACTTTAGTTACAACAATCATAATTGGTATCGGTAATAATTTATTCATAACACCTTCAGTAATAAATTTTTGTAAAGATTTATTCACTGACTGTTCAGTTGATTTTTTTGGCGCCGCCAATTGATCCTCTTGATCATCATGTTCAACAATGCGTTCATCATCAGTTTGTTGCTGTTGTTGTGTTTTCGGTGTGTATGGTGATGATGTTTGAATTGTTGTTGTCGTGCCAGTACAAATGTCATTACGATCAATTGGTCTTGGATGTAGTGGACTATATGACCATTTGGTATTTTCAAATTGATCTTTTGTAATCGGTTGTGATTGTAGACTTAGTTGATGACGTAAACCAAGAGGTTGTTTAGTGGTTTCATCTTTTGCTGCAGTTGTTGTTGTTGGATCAGTGAACATTTTAAAACTGTAAACAACTGACACAGAGAGAAGGAACAATAATAAGAAATTATGAATGAATCATTGTTAGATCAGCAAAAGAAACGTGGAGGCACTGGATGGTCGTTTAGTTCTAGTATAGGACTTCATCATTAACAGAGCACGTCCATGACTCCTACTGTAGTGAATGAGAACACAGGTGGGGGCAACCGAATTGTATTTAGCGAAAATTACAGAGTTACTCAGTAAAATCGGAAAACCATATCGTAAATCGTTCATTTGCAAAGGATCAGTTCATCCTACGGAACTGGACTGTTCCTGATGCCAAACATCAATCCATTGTCACTCTTCATGCGTTTCAAACAAATTCCATTGTTTTCTGACTCTTCCTTTCTTGATCTTCCCCCCATATTATGCTACCAGACTTTACGTTGACACTCACGCTATATACTACTTATAAGTAGTTCGCCCCACAGCACCACACTACAACTGGTATGATTTGAACCAATGAGCTTGGGTCTTGCACATGGAAAGTGAACTTCTTGACCATTAAGCCGGCATCCGACGGTATTAATATCGGTTACATGTGTACGTAAACATGTCAATTTGATGTGCTTGAGTTATTACGAGTTTACCATAGTCGGGAAACGAGAGCGAGGATCGAGGATCCGGTGACACGACAGGCTACTCTAATCCGAGTGAAAGAAGAAGACTTGATATGAAGTAGAACGTGTATTCTACAACATTCAGAAAGTACGAGGTTCGAGTTTAGAAGAGAATCACGATCCCGGACTAGGGATGCGAGCCATAAGACGTTACAGATAATGCGTATTTATACCATTAGGTTGAATAGGAAACAACATTGAAGTACTTGACATTGATAGCCAGAACGACCACAATATTGACCCATAGCACTCGACCAATATAATTAGACTTTGGATATATGACGAATATCCTAACAATATCTAACTCTGATCAATCAATTAAAGAATTTTTTCTGCAACCTCACATATTGTTTTCAGTAGTTACTGCCTACACCCGAAACGGTTGAACTCCACACTAGTCACGTGTCCTCACTAGAACACCGAGAATTTCCTCACGAAGCTAGTCATTTGTTACTAAGAAAAATAGTGTTAATAATAATAATAATGACTAAACTGAGTACTGTTAGAAAATAACACATTGTAATGTGAGTAAAATTATTTGTGATCACGTATAAATTATCTCGGTGAAACTAACACATTTTCTCTTGTTGTTTCATGCCTTTGCGTTTTTTGAAGTTAACTTACTTGATTTCATTATCAATTCGTATTCCAGTAAATCGACTGAACCAATCTAACTGTGTACACATGAGGTTCACAATAACATGCCGTCAGACATGATGATATAATTAGCTAAACATTGGTTCTTCTACTCAATATTGCAATAATGAATCTATTTTAAATCGTTCAGTAGTAAGTACAAAAATTCTTGAAAACCGATTAACGATTGGTATTTTTCTTTTAAATCTATACATCTTAAAGACTTCCAGCCAAATAACATTGTGACATACTACTACTATCAGTAGTAGTAGTAGTAGTGTGGTGTGAGCTACTTATAAGTAGTATATGACGTGAGTGTCAACGTAATGTCTGACAGCAGAAGATGGGGGAAGATCAAGAAAGGAAGAGTTAGAACACAATGGAATTTGTATGAAACGCACTAGTAATGACAATGGATTGATGTTTTGCAACAGGAACAGTCCAGTTCGATATGATGAACTGATATTTTGCAAATGAACGATTTACGATATGGTTTTCCTATTTTACTGAGTAACTCTGTAATTTTCGTTAAATACAATTCGGTTGCCCCAACTGTGTTCTCGTTCACTACAGTAGTAATAGTGGTATTAGTAGTGGTACTAACACATCAATCGAATATTGTTAACGAAAAAAAATTTTTAATGATTCACTGATCAAGTCCTAACTTTTGTGTATATTTAACCTTGAATCACACTGTATGGGGTAGAAACTTGAAGAACCACAAAATCTACCATCCAGAACATACAACTGTTTATCAGCAGTTGTCTACGCAAGATACTGAGGATCCATTGACCAGACGCCGCCATCAACAACAACGAATTGCGGGAAACAACAAGAACCAGATCTTCGTGGAGAAAAATAAATCAAGAAAAATCACTAGTGGTGTATAGGACACACATTGAGGAAAGCACTGAACTGCATCATAAGACAAGCCCCCCAGTTGGAACTCTCAAGGACACGGAAAAAAGAGGAAGAACAAGGCACATAATACTTCGAGAAACGAAAACAAACATGAGAAGAATGAACAATAAAAACTGGAAAGGATAGCTCAGGACAGAGTAAGTTGGAGAATTCTGGTCAGTGGTCTATGCTCCATTATTAGAGGTAATGATTCACTCACTAGTCAAGTCTTAACTTCTGTGCATATATAACCAACCTGGAATCACACATTATTTATTTGTAGGAAAAGTAGATTTTTTACAGTCCTATTCAATCTTCAATAGTAATAATAATAATAATAATAATAATAATAATAATAATAATAATTTATTGATCAACACACATGTACGAATGTTTTCAATCAACCAATCGATCAATCAATTAATCGATAATTTCAAAATACTTTTTTTCAAATGAGGAAAACAACACACTCATGCATGCATGCATACACACATGAGAAAGAATCAAAAACTTACTACTAGATTTTAAATTTTCCATTTCTTCGGAATCAATTTTTAAATAATTCATATGTTGTTCAATAATTTGTAACCATAATTCTAAATCATTAATTAATGACCATGGTTCAGTGGAATCAATGCATATTATGCCCATTGTATGCCATAGATTAGATTTGTTTAAGGCGAATTTCAATAGGTTATTACTTTGTTGTGGATCCCCATCTAAACTCCATACACCCATATGTAGAGATTCTAAAATTAATTGGGAAAAACGAAATTCTGTATACATTTGGTAAGCTTTGATTAAGGGGATAGAGTTAAAATTTACTTCGGTGTGCCTGAGAAAAAATAGTTAACATCATACGGAATTCTTATGAAGGGTCAACTGACAGACTCTTTCGAGGTGAAGACCGGTGTCAGGCAAGGTTGCTTACTCTTACTCACCCTTTCTCTTTCTCCTGGTCATCCATCGACTGAATTATGAAGACGTCGACATCTGGAGGGAAGCACAGTATCAACTGGACAGTGAGGACGCAGATGGACGATCTGGACTTCGCAGATGATCTGGCTCTTCTATCGCAGACGCAACAACAAATGTAAGAGAAGACGACCAGTGTAGCAGCAGCCTCTGCAGCTGTAGGTTTCAACATACTACATAAAGGAAAAAGCGAAATTCTCCGATGCAACACAACATGTACCAACCAAATCACTCTTGATCGAGATGCCTTGGAAGACGTTAACACCTTTACATATATGGGCAGCATCATCGACAATCAAGGTGGATCCGATGCAGATGTGAGGGCGCGGATCGGCAAAGCGAAGGCTGCATTTCTACAATTGAAAAATATCTGGAATTCCAAACAACTTTCAACCAAAACCAAAATCAGCATTTTCAATACAAATGTCAAGACAGTTCTACTGTATGGAGCTGAAACTTAGAGAACTACCAAAGCCATCATCCAGAAGATACAAGTGTTTATGAACAGTTGTCTACGCAAAATACTTCGGATTCGTTGGCAAGACATACGTACTATGGGAGAGAACAAACGAGATTCCAGTGGAGGAGGAAATCAGGAAGAAGTGGTGGAGTTGGTGGATAGGACACACATTGCGAAAGCACCTAACTGCGTCACGAGATAAGCCCTCACATGGAACCCTCAAGGCAAAAGGAAACGAGGAAGGCCAAGGAACACATTACGCGTCGAGAAATAGAGAAAGATATGAGAGGAATGAACAAACATTGGACAGAACTGGAGAGGGAAGCCCAGGACAGAGTTGGTTGGAGAAAACTGGTGGGCGGCCTATGCTCCTCTATTGGGGGTAACAGGTGTAAGTAAGTAAGTAAGTAAGTAAAAGTTACTTAATTACTTACTTGCTTGTGCCTGTTACCTTTAATAATGGAGCATAGACCACAGACCAGAATTCTCCAACTCACTCTGTCCTGAGCTACCCTTTGCAGTTTTTGTTCAATCTTCTCATGTTTGTTTTCGTTTCTCGAAGTATTATGTCTGTCCGTGTCCTTGAGGGTTCCAACTGGGGGGGGGTTGTCTTGTGATGTAGTTCAGTGCTTTCCTCAATGTGTGTCCTATCGACCTCTAGCGATTCTGTTTGATTTCTTTCTCCACTGAGATCTGGTTTGTTCTTTCGCGCAATTCGTTGTTGTTGATGGCGGCGTCTGGCCAATGGATCCTCAGTATCTTCTGTAGACAACTGCTGATAAATAGTTGTATGTTCTGGATGAAGACTTTTGTGGTTCGTCAAGTTTCGATCCCAAACAGTAGAACTGTCTTGACATTGGTGTTGAAAAATTCTGATTTTTTTGTTTACTGATAGTTGTTTTGAGTTCCACGTGTTCTAGAATTGCTGGAATGCAGCTCTTGCTTTCCCAACCCGTGCCTTCACATCTACATCAGATCCACCCTGCTCGTCGATAATGCTGCCCAGATATATAAAGATTTTTACATCCCTCAAGGCATCTCCACCAAGTTTGATTTGGTTAGCGTTTGTTTTGTGGTATCAAAGAATCTTGCTTTTTCCCTCTAGGGTATGTTGAGACCTGGTGCGTGTGTGTGTTTACGTTATTGATATTAAGAATTGTGTTTGGTTAGTTTCGGTTGAAAACATGGAATTCTTCGGATGCATTTACTAGCTTGTTACATTCCCAAATATTTTCAAGTAATAGTGTCCCAGAATATTGTTGGCACCAGCTTGGGGACCTCAAGACAATTGGAACTTGGGTTTATACTTACATTAGATTAAAACAATCTTTTGATAAAGATTTTATGCAAGCGATAAATCGTAAAACAAGACAATATATATATGAATTTTAAATCTATATTCATACTTATAATCTAAATTATAATTTAAAATCAAGTTTGATTTGATAAAAAAAACAATTATTTTTCAAAAACATTGTTAGACCACCATTAGAAACGGGGAAGCACTGGACGTCCATTTCGTTCTGGTATTGGATTCATCAGCAGTGCGTATCCACGACTCCTGCACCTCATAAGATTCTAACCCTGGACCTTCGGTCTTTGTGAGCGAACGCCTAACCATCGGACCACTGGGCCGGCAGCCAACGGTGTTAATGTCTAACTCTGATTGATCTACGGATTTCCGCGTTCGCGCACAATACCGAAGGTCCCGAGTTCGAGTCCTGCGAGGTGCAGGAGTCGTAGATGCGCACTGCTGAGTAGTCCCATACCGTCCAGTTCTTCCAGGTTTCTAATGGTGGTCTAACAATCACTGATTGATGATTTCAAATGTGTAAAAGCACAAAACCTCCAAAACTCTGTCCAAAAATATTAGAAGTTTGCTTGATAGAAGACGTACGTATTTACCGTAAGCTGTATGGCTAATATAGAAGTGAAAGTTTCCAATGACACCAGAGGTTGGTTATGGTTGGTTGTGGATAGTTTGGCATTACTTTGGCACGTCTTACTAATCGTCAATATAAAAACTTGGTTTTCAGGGTAACTGATATGATTTATACTGATGGTGGTTGTCTAGCGATATTACCGGGGGTTATTGTCATCGGCGTGCAGGATTGCAAATCACCGTTGGTAATAATAATGAGTTTAACAGTCACGTATGCAGGATGGTCTGCTCATGCTGAGCGTATTGATCGGCGCGATTATGGGTCTTAAATAAAACTATATGAATTGGTGTATATAAATGGTGTGATTGGTCTACCAAAGTGTCAGGCATCTGTGCGATTGCGCCACAGGATTAAGCTGTACTATTCACGTTGTGGTGTTATTATGTGGATAATGTTTGGTTTTCCTGAAAACCAATGTAAAATTACCTCTGCCAACTAAGGGTGAGTTATTATGTCTTGGTAACAAGCATTTTAAATAATTTAGAACCAAGATCAACACATGTTATACAGCTTTCATTAAGAGATTGGAAGAATCTTACAAAAGAATCTTTTTATTGATAAGAAAACCATTTTAGAAAATAAAATCAATATGTATGAAAGAGTTGTGAATGTTCAGTTAGTTTTTGATATCCTGAATATATCAATGTTACACTACCACTAGAAACCTGAAGGCACTGGAACGCCGTTTTGTCATTTTGTGGGACTCATACATAATTAGCGCGCATCCACGACACCTGTGACTCCCAGTCGTGACCGATGGGGTTGAACACAATTTGCTTGTGAAGCAGTCAGTCAGTTGCAACGTAGAACTTCGTTCGTATGAACGTACGTTCAGGTTGCCACACCACATTAACACAGAGACCTAAATGTCAAATCAAGTCCCATAGTGATAGAGATAGTAGAGGTAACAATGGTAATGAAGAAGAATAGGGTTTGAAGCCTACATCTACCAACAAGACTCAGTGCACTTGTCAGTGACTTCATGGATTTCTGCCATGTTTTGGTCTGGCCGCCCCTAGCTTTCTTCCAACTTACTCCTACACCGCAAAACATAGCTCGTCGAGGCAGTCGGTGTTTAGCCATCCGTAACACATGTCCCAACCACTTCAACTGATGAAGTTTCATGCCTTCATCTATTGATCTGCCACCCTTACCTAGCACCCGTTTCCTAACGACAGTATTGCTTACTCGGTTGTCCCACGATATATGAGCAATGCTTCTTAAAAACCTATGATCGAATACTAGTAACCTACGAACATCTTCTACTCTTAACGGCCATGTTTCACAGCCATATAATAGAACGGAACGAACTGCTGCGCAGTACACCCGCCCTTTGGTTAGCGAACGGATATCACGCCTACGCCATAAGTGACGCAGGTTGGCAAAAGCCAATCGAGCTTTCTGTATCCGAGCTGAGATTTCGTCAGTCACCAGACCGTCAGCACTGATGAGACTCCCCAGATAAGTGAAGTGATCAACACGCTCAACTACTTCACTCCCTATCACTAGTTCAGGTGCCGATGAAACCCAGTCTTGAAGCAACGTTTTGCATTTCAGGGGGGAAGGAACCTCATTCCGAACATGCTTGCATTGTTGCTTAGAGTGGTCAGAAGACTCTGCGTTTTGTCAGCGTCTTCACCGAATAGAACTATGTCATTGGCATATTCTAAGTCAGTAAGCGATTTTCCTGGTAGAAGTCAACCCCTGAAAAATCTGACGAGCCTAATGTTAACTCTAAAAGCTTATCAACAACTAAGTTAAACAAGAATGGAGAGAGTGGACAGCCCTGACGGACACCACTTGATGTAGAGGATTCGGATGAAAGTTCGCCATATGCTCTCACTCGTCCAGTAGTGTTCGAGTAGAGAGTTTGTATAAGGTTAATGTACTTCTTTGGTACACCTTTCAATGACAGACACTGCCACAGAACCTCACGATCCACTGAGTCAAATGACGCTTTCATGTCCGAGAACACAACGATTGTCGGACGTCTAAATGTGTGTCTGTGTTCCAGGACCTGTCTTAGTGTGAATATGTGGTCTATACATTCACGGCCAGGTCTGAAACCAGACTGGTTTTCTCGAGTCTGCTCTTCAAGAGCTCTAGTTAGACGTCTAAGTATAATCAAGGCTAACAATTTAGAAACTATATTATTCAGACTTATTCCCCTGTGATTGTTACAAGAGGACTTTTGTCCTTTCTTGTAGATTGGGACAATCAGTGATTGAGACCAGTCGGATGGGATTGCGTCCAGTTTCCAGATTCTACCTAAGATCTCGGTTAATCTAACTGTTAAAACTGGGTGTGAAGCACTGTTCACTGAAGACAATGGATAAGGTTGCGCAAGACCATGCATTGAGTGAAATTCGTCAGTTACACCTTCAGATGCCGGCTCAGTGTTACAAAGGTTAGGCGTTCGCGCACAAGACTGGAGGTTCTAGGTTCAAACCTTACGAGTAGCCAGGTGACCATAAATGCCCACTGCTGATAAGTCCCACACCAAGACTAAGTGACTGTCCAGTGTGTCCCTTTGAGGATCTAAATGATGGTAGTCTAACATTGATCGATTCAAGGTTTTCAATCAGATGTAATAAGATGTATTTCATTGAAAAAAACTTCTATTCAACAAACATTTTATATACACCGTCACTAACCTTCTCTACCATCTTCATGAAGACTTAAAAATTGATAATCTAAACCAATTCCACATTGAATTGGTTTATTTGAATTGAAACATTCAACAATACGTTTTTTATCAATAGTATCATTGCCAAAAATAATTAATTGTGGTTTATCCGGTGATTCAATTGTCCCGTAAGCATTGCGTCTATTAGATTGAACTTCATCCAATAAAGATATCCTAAAGAATAAATGCAAATGATATAAATATTTTTGATTGATATATATATTAAAACTAAGCCTAGAGATCTTCAAGGTCTATTGCCGATACCGAACCCGGCTACGAGAGGATATATGAAGTTAGAGACTCTGTACTCTATAGAAATCCAACTTACTTACTTACTTACGCCTGTTACCCCCAATGGAGCATAGGCCGCTCACCAGTTTTCTCCAATCAACTCTGTCCTGGGCTTCCCTATCCGATTCTGTCCATTTTTCTTCATTCTTCTCATATCTTTATCTATTTCTTGGTGTAATGTGTTTCTTGACCTTCCTCTTTTCCTTTTGCCTTGAAGGTTGCATGTAAGGGCTTGTCTTGTGACGCAGTTAGGTGCTTTTCATAGTGTCCTAACCACTTCCAGCGCTTCTTCCTGATTTCCTCCTCCACTGGAATCTGGTTTGCTCTTTCCTACAGTACGTTGTTGCTGATGGTATCTGGCCAACGAATACGAAGTATTTTGCGTAGACAACTGTTCATAAACACTTGTATCTTCTGGATGATGCCTTTCGTAGTACAGTTCTCCAAGTTTCCGCTCCATACAGTAGTAGAACTGTCTTGACATTTGTATTGAAAATGCTGATTTTGGCTTTGGTTGAAAGTTGTTTGGAGTTCCAGATATTTTTCAACTGTAGAAACGCAGCCCTTGCTTTGCCAACCCGCACCCTCACATCTGCATCGGATCCACCTTGATTGTCGATGATGCTGCTCAGATATGTGAAGGTGTTAACGTCCTCCAGGGCATCTCCATCAAGAGTGATTTAGAAATCCAACTTGCTAACCAGAAAAATAACTAGTTGGTCATAGGGCTTTGATCTATTAGGAGTAATTGACGTAATAGGAATAAATTAACTTGGGTTTTAACAACTAAACTTGATACTGTAGTCAAAGTTTTTAGTGTTTACCTTTCAGACTGTTAGCCTAGTATTCAGTGACCTGCATCATTTACTGTAGTCAACTAATAAAATTACGCAGACTTCAACTCATACAATTTATTGGTGAGAGTTTCCTCACACCCAAAGTGATTGAACTGTAACGGTTAGTGCTTCTTACTATCACCCTAAATATTACTGTAGGGAGTCATTTGCTTTCTGTCGATGCTGAGGAGTCACAAACTGATGGGACACAGCTACCCAAATATCTCTAGTTTACAAAGGATGTCTGTCTTAGCCGGTGTGTTGTTATTTCAAACTACAAACATTCAAGTTATAGATATGTTATATTTCGCCAAAATTCTACTCCACTTCAGTAATTATGGTTTTCAGTTTAATAGACTACAAGTACTTTGGTAATGATTCAGTTTTAATTAAAAGTAATCAGTGAGTTCTTTCTTTCACACTAGATATTCATACTATTTAGCTATTATTCAAATGTTCCAACCAATTCGATACACGTTCTTAAGACAATAGAAAAAAATCAAACATTATGGTTTTAATTAACAATGAATTACTGGAAAATGGGAATGGAACAAAGTGTATGGTTAAAATAAACTTCATTAGTGATGCAGTAAGTTTTGACCGTTGCTACAATATCATATTACATCGTATCTGCACTTAATCTGAGCAGTCCCCAAGAAAATCTATGATATTTATTTAGACTTGTTCAAGTAATCGGATCGCCAACAATTCTATCATGGTTTCGGTTCCTAATATAATCAAATATGTTCTAGTCATGTGGTAGTTTTTTAATGTTTTCATCTCCTTAATAGATCCAATATCTTTTACACGATATTGTTCTTTCGGTACGGTTCAAGGTGTTCGGTAATGTTCAATGAATGGGGACCTAGCCACTCGACTCTCCTATTCTGGTCAGTTGGCAGTTGGTTGTGAGTTTGTATGTCTCGTGATTTGAATGAGAATGTTTGTTTCAAGGCAGTAGGGTTTTAGATACCAGCAGTTATCACATTACCAGACTGGAGATCAGTTAGTTACAATGTGTAGAATAATAAGGTAAATTAGAATGCTAATATGAATAAAATTTCAGAACTAAGTAATATATAGATGATTTAGTTTATTAATTGGCAGTGAAGATTGTGAGAGAAAACCGAAGTGTAAGCAAGGGAGAGGAAACAAAGATAATATGCGAGACAGACTGATCTGAGGAGATGGCAAAGATAACAACTAGTAGGTCTCAAAATCTGCATCATGAACAGTTTGTCCAAGAGGGAGATCATAATCCATATGTGAGTACGTGATTATCAAGTCTCTTCTTAACGCTGTCCACTGAGGGGCTGTGGTCACCTCGTCTGGGAGATCATTCCAAGTTGCGACGACTCGTTATGAGAAAAAGTGTGCCCGAATCTGAGTATTCACTCTCTGATCTGCAATCTTTTGAGTATTGCCTCGGGGGGAGTGGCGGTGATGCATCGGTAAGATGCTCACGTTGGGATGTTTGGCGTGCTTACTATGTTGTACGCCATAATCAGATCACCTCTGATTCTCCTGAAACTCAGAAAGGATAATCCCAAGTGCTGTCGTGTATCACCGTCTATCATCATCAACGCCATCATACATTTTATTGTTCGTCTCTGCACTCATTCCAAGTGATTTACTTTGTGAACCTCCAAGTGTGTGCTCACTTACGTATTAAACAGTGTTAAGAACAATTCTGTCTTCACATAAAATGAGGATTTGGGTTTGCCTTGCCCACGTTCCCTACATAGTTTGTACTAGTGTGGAGGCTTTTGTGGTTATGAAACCGAGATCGCGCTCTCAGGAGACATTAGGGAGAGGAATTCCGTTAAGGGTGTAGATCGTTTGCGTCATGTTAGGATTTACAATTCAAATCATATTCTCTGAATTTCTCATTTTCGGCATTAAACATTTTGTAAAATGACTCTTATGCACATACTCTATCTTTATAGTAAGTTCACTGTTTTTATAACGTGAAAGTTACCATTACTCACTTATTAGTAATGCTCTGACAGTTTAGGGCCTCGAATCTAGTTTCTAGGTGTTAAAACAGAGATTTAGAGTTGATGAACTGATAAAAAAACAAAGTTCGCAAAGCTTACCACAAATTTTTCTTTCCTTCCTCCTGTACGTCACGCATTCTGCAAACCAATTTGAAATGCTGCACAATATCGTAAATCAATTTTAGTGCATTATAACTAATTCTGTCATTTCCTGGAAAATTGATATTATGAACTTGTAAAATAACCATAGTGCGTAATATAGGTGTTTTTTAGAAATGCCGTACTTACATAAAAAGTATCTGAGAATATCACTTTCCTCAACCAGAAAAACCTTTTGAATAAAACTCAGAATTATCTTTAATGGCTCTTAAACATGAAACGTAATTCGCATGCGCAGAGGCTTCAGACCAAATGTTTATTCAGCATCACTATCACAGTCTCACTTCTTTCAGAGACGCTTCCCTTTAGCAAAGCAAACCATGTGAAAATTGTCACAGTCATGTGGTTCACAAAACCGTTATCTCAAAAGGGTTCGTCTTAATCAAACAAGTAGTAGTTGGTTAGCTTTGAGGCTTGCCTAATGCGCTTGAATGTGTTCGAATCCAACATACCCAAGTTTTTTGTGTTCTGTTCTAAAGTCACTCTTGATCGTTTTTTATTCTTCTAATATCATTTACCACTACCCAATTTAACATGTTCTTTTCTTTGCTTGTTTTCAGCTGGCCGTGAGGATTTCGTGTAAGGGATTGCCTGCTATTGCAGTTCGGTCATTTTTTAAGTGTGTCTCATCCACCTCCTGTATCTATCGTTAATCCACGTCTGAAACTGAAGCTGGCCTGTTATCTGTTAAAATAGGCTATTGTTGATAGGATTTTTTGTTTCCAAATTTTCGTAGATTCCTATCTTAGTAGTGGTCAATGTAGTTCTCCAAGTTATAGCTTTTTAAAATAAAACACTTAAGACAGTTTCCGACAACCGTTTAAGGTTCAATATCTTGTTCTGCAGAAATGTTTCACTCGATTTCCTTATCTGTGCAGTAGATAGGCTACCCCGCCATGTTCGTGCGGAACCTTCAAGTCTAAGTTTAAGAAAACACCATTTTTGATGCGGCCCTAAAACAATGTTGAATACAAGCCCTCTAATCCTACGTCCACAAGACCAGGAAATGCCTTTGCCCCATCTAGCATACATAATAGATAAATTAATGGGGAGAGGTCCACTAACGGGCACATATTTTACGCAAAAGCGGACGAACCAACGTTGACGCGAAATCTCGGAATAAAGAGGCAATTACCACGGGTATTTGCTGTAGCAGATTTAGTTTTGGCCATATTAGGAATGGACATTCAGAGAGACATGAATTTCTGGTCGATACAAGAAAGGGGATTTTTCACATACAAATAAACTTTGAAGCACTCAAAAGGCAAAGAAAATCATATGACTTTACTAAGTTTGGTACTAAACCCACTACCAAAAACTGCATAGTTTCAATATACACTCGCGTAATTTTCGAACCAGACGAAATTTAACTAACAACCCCTTAAACTAAGCTGAATGTTAGTTATACGGTCAAAACCAAAGGTACACCTGTTTTCGCTAGGCTTAGAAGGCTAGTACATGATGTGTCTAAAATAGCTAGACCTACATTTGATTTCATTCAACGGATGACTGTCGTTAGTCTCCCTGATAACCAATGGGCAGCCCATCTACACATGATTTCAACTATAAAAGTGGGTGGTTGTAGACCTCGCAGGAATTAAGAAGCCTTCAGTCGCCAAACCATTTCAGATAGGTGTTCAACACCCCATATGCAAGATTTTACAAACGGATTACAGAATACGGACGAATTCGGTGATATTGGATTGGTCCCAGTAATCATAATAATATCGATAGTAACAATAATAATGAATTCTCAAATAACAGTGTGTTACATGAGGCATGCTATTTTGCTGCAAAAGTTTGTTCACTTAAGTGAATATTTTATAAGATACACTGGCTTTCTATATAGGACTAATATTTCTCATACAGTGTTTCAGACTCATGAATGTACTGTATAGTACCTGGAACCGTACTGAAAGAATATGAATTAAGCTCAAAGAAATCAACTGGTTTATACTAGCTCGTGTAAAAGATATTGGATTTATTAAATATCAAATGTTGGTTGCGTTGCTGCGAATGGCTACTGGTCGAGGATCAATGCAAGTTAAATCCAGCGCTAAATATAACAAAAATTGAAGAGGTGAAATTGTACTGATCTTTTCGACGGGATTCACCGACTAATAATTTGACTGGCTTCTATGTAATGCAACTGAGTCTCCGGGAATATCAAGGCTCTTATTTAAGGCGTAGGATTATGTGCTGAAAAAGAGAAAGAAGAAAGAGGCGAGAGGTAGGACAAAAAACATTCTTTTTCAAAGCTTTCTTGACTCAGAAGATACTTTTTTGAATAAAACGATGATAAGATTTCTCAGATCCTTTTATCAGCGATAGTTCATTAACTACCCACCTGCATTTAGGCAGGTTAATGAAGACTAGTTACTAATAAGATAACGAATATGTAAATGATCGTATGAATGGATGAGATTCGAAAGAATTTGATAGTTTGAAATCATTTAGATCGATGGAATATAATAAGGAAGGCATAGTAATTTATTGCCCTGAAGATATGAAATTCGTTGTACATTTTGGGCAAGTAGGGTAGTTGTGTCTTAGTTTGTAGGAGATTCGGACAAACTATTTTGCGTCCGTCTCGTATATCAACATATGAGGTGATTGCTAAATCGTAACAATGTTTAATGGTAATGTCGAGAAGCAATTATGTATAACTACCTAACGTTCCGACCAAGCATAAGATAGTGTTGTTTTGGATGCTCTACAAACTTAATGGTACAGAATGCCTCGACGTTTAATAATTCAGAGATATCAGCAATTTCAATGATGTAACGATTTAAGTGTGTTCAGTAATTGTAAAAATCGTGGAGCAGAAATTACCATTAACTTAGTGCGAGATCCTCCGAAATATATGACCATAACAGTGACAGTAAATAAAAATTGTTGAATTACCATGGAAAACAGTAGGCCATGTCTAGAAACATTAGACTTGTTTATGGTTGTATATAACCAATCTTCAAACACAAACGAGTTGAATGGTAGTGTTTCTGTAAGATTATATATCTCGGTGGTCCTGAGGGTTGTTTATAACACTGCTTTCGGTGTACATTACCAAGTGCTTATCTCGAATTCGTATCACAGTGCTTTTGTTTTTGTTCACGTTGTTCTTCCTGAATTCAGCACAAATCCATTTGTAACTACAGGAGTAGAAAATGAGCATTTCTGTATGCTACCAATATAAAAATACTCATTACCATCACACAGGAAACGCGATCAGGTCAAACCTTAGAGAAATGAATATTAATTCAGGTGGGAATGTTTTATGAAGAATATATGGAGAGGTTCGAAATATGGTGTATGACTAGGAAAGATGTCAAAGATGATAAAATCATATCTCATTAATTGAGATGTTTCCAATCTACTAGGAATTTGGCTCTTCTAGAGAGACGTATATCTGTCTTTCGCCGGCATTAGAGCATTTTTATTAAATCACATTGTGTCCAGACTTCGGATGCTGCGGACGGGCGAGATCCTATGAAACCACTCCGAGAAACGTCCTTTTTCCTATACTAGAAATTCATGAATTATCTATGAGGCAGTGCATGAGATATGAAGAATTCTCCCACATTACTGAGTTGCCCTAATTCGATTGACACTTGAGGTCATGTGTACAGGCGTTTAATTAGTGATAGGGCTCGTTTACGTCAGAACATCAGAAAAAATTCGTTCAGAGGTTGCAAATTAGCAAATAAAGTTGAGTACAAGTTTGATAATCGTTTGCCATGTGTTAAATTCCACTTTAAAAATTTATGTACATATTGTTATATAAAATACCGAAAGTGCAGTAAAATAGGGCATATCAAGTTCATGTGTGTATCTACACAGTGTCATCAAAGTCATATCAGGAACTATTTGACAAACATTATTGTTTCTGAACATGAAGTTAGTTACTGGATAGTGTACATAAAAAGAGAATGTTTTAATGAGAATGAGCAAGCCTATTAATGTCCAAATAACAGTATTTATTATCACCAGCACTGGATTGCCTGGAAGGTTTGACTTCAGAGGTATGATAATCATTAGTATTTGTATTGTGTATAACATTCAGAAATGTTGGATTTGCACTCTAGTAGTTACATATGGAACAGTACTTAATTCTGGAAGAACAACTTGAGCACAAACTAGAGCATTTTGACACGGATTTGAATAAGGCGGTGAATAATGTACAAACCAACCACCTTAACAGAATCATCACAAACTGTTACTATCAAGTCTACTACTCCGTCAGAAAGTGGAAGACATTAAATCCCACTATAATTTCCATTTTGTGTCTTGCTGGTCATAAACTTTACATTTTTGGATGTAATTTACCAGTCAAAGTTGATAATTTTTCAATTACAATTTGTTAGTTCCTCACACGTTAGTTATTCTGGACCATTTAAGATGTGGCTAGGAAATTAAAGGATGCTTCAAGGACAATTCTCTTTATTAACAGTGATGCGAATTCTGATTAAATGCTCGATAGCTTGTTGACTACATTGTTAAGGCGCAAAGATTCACAAACAACTACAATTATTTCCTGTTCTGATGCTCATGCAGGAATAATCGAGATCTCAATAAAAAACAACCAATTTTATTACTGCTGCAACGTTTAAAGATCCAAAGGGGTAAGTGATCTGAGTATTTTAATGCAGAAATCCGAAATTGTATAAAAAACAGTGACAAGCAATGAGAAAATTACCTACACAAAAGACCAAATGCTTTACGATTTGTTAATACTGGATACTGTAAAAGAGTTAATCTTCAGCAATGTACGAGAGTTCTTATACATGCCAGTCTCAACGACCGGATACGTTACAAGGACCTATGTAGTTTTGTTGATTCTGTTAACAATAAACATTCGCTAGACAATACTAAATATAACCTGAAGGTGAGGTCTGAGAAACATTCAATGAAATCTTTCACAAGTCTTGAGAAAAAACTGAAAACCCAACATTCGTTTAAGGTTTGGCGTATATGATGGTTGCATACATCATTCCAATCCTGATTAGAATTCATATCACAGTTCACTCGTTTGAATTCAGTAATGTTCCATACATAACTGTTAGGATATGAATTGGAGATTTTTCAGAGTTACTAGTTCGTACACAGGAAAAAAACTGCTATTACGTATCACACTAATTTGAATTTGTATAAACGACAGTAGATTAAAATATACCACACACATTGTAGATTATCGAGCTTGTTTGGATTGCTTTCGGAACTTGTCATTATTTCGGGGGTCCATGCATTCGATTGTATAATAGGCGACTACCGGTATTTAGTTCGATGTTTCCATTGGGTTTTGTCAACTTTATTTCCTGGAAACGGACAGTTCTGGGAGGGAAGATAGTCTCAAAAGCATAGCCTTCACACATCGCCAGTTAATAATAAGTTAATATGATCAAGTAAGCGCCAAAAATTCTACCATAAATCTTTTGTGATATTTACCTGCAAATATACCATTTTCGGTCCATAAGACCACACCAGTTATATGACTACAAAATATTGTTAATTCAATTCAGATTGATTTAAACTAGACCAGTTATATATATATATATATGCATCAGGATTTTCATTTTAAATGTCAAGACAGTTCTACTGTATTGAGCGGAAACTTAGAGAACTACCAAAGCCATCATTCAGAAGATAAAAGTGTTTATTAACAGTTGGCCAGACACTATCAGCAACATTGTACTGTGGGAGAGAACAAACCAGATTCCAGTGAAGTTGGAAATCAGGAATAAGCGGTGGAGGTGGATAGGTCACACACTACGAAAAGCACTTAACTGCGTCACAAGAAAAGCCCTCACATGGAACCCTCAAAGCAAAAGGACAAGAGGAAGGCCAAGGAACACACTACGCCTAGAAATAGAGAAAGATATGAGAGGAATGAACAAACATTGGACAGAACTAGAGAGGGAAGCCCAGGACAGAGTTGGTTGGAGAAAACTGGTGGGCGGCCTATGCTCCAATCGGGGGTAACAGGCGTAAGTATGTAAGTAAGTAATATACATTTAGTAGTATTACTATTCATATTCTCTAACTTACTGAGCATCGGTCATCGTATTGGACAGCATTAAGAAGAAACTTGTTAATCACCTACTCACATATGGATTATCATCTCCCTTTTGGACACGCTGTTCATGATGCATATCTTGAGACCTACTAGTTGTCATCATTGCCATCTCCTCAGATCACTTACTTAATCTATCTCGCCCATTATCTCTGTTTTCTCTTCCTTTGTTTACACTTCGGTCTTCTCTCACAATCTTCACTGACAATTAACATACTAAATCATCTATATATTACTTAGTTCTGAAATTTTATTCATATTGTGGTGTGAGCTATTTATAAGTAGTATATGACGTGAGTGTCAACGTAATGTCTGGCAGCAGAAGGTGGGGGAAGATCAAGAAAGGAAGAGTTGGAACACAATGGAATTTGTATGAAACGCATTAGTAATGACAATGGATTGATGTTTTGCAACAAGAACAGTCCAGTTCGATATGATGAACTGATATTTTGCAAATGAACGATTTACGATATGGTTTTCCGATTTTACTGAGTAACTCTGTAATTTTCGTTAAATACAATCCGGTTGCCCCGCTTGTGTTCTCCTTCACTACAATATTAGCATTCGAATTTACCTTATTATTCTACACATTGCAACTAACTGATCTCCGGTCTGGTAATGTGATAACTGCTGGTATCTAGAAACCCTACTGCCTTGAAACAAACATTTTCATACAAATCACGAAACATACAAACTCACAACTAACTGCCAACTGACTAGAATTAGACAGTCGAGTGGCTAGAATGCCATTCATTGGACACTACCGAACACCTGGAACCGTACCGAAAGAACAAGAATCGAGCGCGAAGAAATCAAATTGGTTTACAGTAGCTCTTGAAAAGGACATTGGATGCTATATCTCTCGGAGTGTTGGCTCACTAGCCTTCTCGATTGCTTGCTTGCTTTCCGGTGCTCACATTACAATTTTCTTTTTGCATGCTTGTAGTCTGCTGATCCGATTTATGGCATGCCAAAATAAACGTTTTCAACACTTCGAGTGCACCTTCTAATTTATAAACCATCAGACGCTATTTTTAGTCATGATTGTTTGGACGAGCTAATTACGAACGAAGCTTAAGAACCTCGTTGAATACCAATCATACACACCACAACGACAGTTAGAATTTTTAATCGACCATCAAATTTACTACTTTTTTCCGAATGAAAATAGACTGTAGTGCCTCCACATAAACTTGAGTTCGCTCATATTTAATTTGACTAAGCCTTTTGATTAACTTATGTAACCACGCTATTTGTATGGCAACAACCCATATGTACCATTGGTATCTTTTATTGCCGGGTTTGTATGAGCCTGTACGACTGAGCATTGTTTACGCCTACGCACTTACTCATCCTTTTCGCTTCAATGTTAATATCTTAATACCCCTACGAACTCACATGACTTGTATCGCTTGCTTTTGACCTTGTCAATCATTCGCCTCTTTTATTCATGTGTGTGCCTGCCTATTTCGCTTGTCATATGTCTGTCTTATTTTTGTCTGACTATATATATTCATCACTAGCCTTCTCCACATCGCTTACTTCTCCCGTTCGTTCACATTGTAACCTATGGAGTTGACTCAAAAGCTTTCTCCAATTCACGTTGCTTCATTCGTTTTATTCACTGCTTCTCCGCTTCACTTTGTGTGGTGTGTCCCAAATAAACGTATTCATCACTTTGTGTTCATCTTCTGATTTATCAACCATCAGACGCTATTTGGCAACGATTGTCTGAACAAGTTAATTACCGAGCTTAAGAACATGCAGTCAATCCACATACTATAAGACAATTAACAATCGAATTATGATTTAGAAAAAAATATTATTTATTCTATAAATATCTTTAACTTTTTTAATCACAGAAAAAATCATTGCAATTACATATTTGTTTAGTTGAATCTAATTGAATAATATCATGACTGTTAGAAAATATTTTATTATCACAGTTAGAAAAATTGCCATCGAATCTAGGCGTTAAAAATGAATGTTCAGTTTTCAACAATGTACAATCAACGCACTGATCTTGTTCAATTTTATGTGTATAAATATTATTTCGCATTGGTTTAAAACATAACATATGATGATTAGGTAATGTGAAATAATGTCGTTCAGTGTTAGTATTTTTGAAATCACATTTAAGACAAGATGTCTTTTCATTATTGATCATTGAATTCGACATCAGTTCATTTAAACAAATATCATTCGTATAACGATGACTTAATAATGGAGGCTGATTAAAATTTAAGGTTCTATTATCATTGTGAACGTGTTCATAATTAAATTTATTGTGTAAAAACTTTACTGTACAGTTAGGATTTACACTAGGACATTCTGGTTTTGTTGCAGACAAAAGACGATATTGTTTTAAATCACCACAATCATGTAAATAACTGTCTTTATCATTATCAGTGTTATTATTAGTCAAAATTGCAATTTTCATATGTGGACAAGTAGAAGAATAATTTGATCCTGACCGGTTATTGAAATTGTTTAACTGTTGTTGACAATTATCTAAATAATAGAAAAAATTAAAGATGTATGTTGTTATGATAGTTTGCATTACAGACTGATTTGAACCATAAAACAATCATTAAAAACTATAACTTTCTCATTACAACAGGTAACTAATGTCTATGGATTCACTGATGAGAGGAATAAGTGAAAAGTAATCTGTTTTTAGCTATCAGAAAGACGGCTGTTTCGTCCAGGCATGAGACTCATCAGTAACAGTTCACATCCTCGAGGTTGCGCTAAATCCCTAGATTAATCAGAGTTGAACATTTACAGCATTGGATGTCGGCTTAATTGTCCAGAGGTTAGGCATTCGCGTGCAAGCTTGAAGAATATGGATTTGAGTCCTGTGAATAGCAGTAGTCATGGCTGCACACTGCTGATGAGCCCAGCAGTGCCACGACGAAACGGATGTCCAGTGCTTACAGGTTTCTAATGGCGGTCACACAGTGACTGATTCATGAATTCAGTAATAAATAGTTATCTAGTAAGAACAGTTTATCTATTTGATGATGAGGGTCGATTAGGGCGGTATTTTTTAAGTTACTTAGATTGAAAGTGTATGTGAATGAAAGATTATTTATAAATCCCTTCACTGAATAGGTTTTGATTGTTAGGTGTAGTACATTTCATACAGTTGACTGGGTCTCTTTATGAAGTTGAATTCAGATAAAACAGTAATTATGCTCAATAAATAAGTGAGGTCATCAGTATCATGTAAAACTATCAATGTAGGTATCACCCGTTGAATAACTCTTGATCACTTTATTAAAAGTAATTATATATATATTCCAGAGCAGCGGGCAAGAACAATGACTGAAGTGGTAATCCGGCATATTGTAGCGTGTCACGGAATACGGAAGGTGATATTAACTGACCAGGGTCCCTGCTTTGAAAGTGACGAGTTTAAAGCCCGTCTAAAGCAGTTTTGCGTCAAGAGGATACGAAATACACCGTATCATCCGCAGATAAACGGGCTTATGGAGAGAAGACAAGCAGAAGCGGGTAAATACTAGTCAACTGCAGAGATGGTTTCAAGATTATCAAGTGTATGAGTCACGAAAAGCAGCAAAGATGACAACTGTACGGCAATCAGAAAGACTACGACGACAGCTTATTAAAAGGGGGACGAGTGTGGTGTAAGTTACTTATAAGTAGTTTATGACGAAAGTGTTAACCTAATGTCTAGCAGCAGAAGATCAGAGGGAAGATCAAGAGAAAGGAAGAGTGGGAACACAATGGAATTTGTATGAAATGCATGAATAAGTGAAATGTCAGACAATGGATTAAAGATTTGCAAATTAACCGTTTACGATATGGTTTTCCAATTTTGCTGAGTAACTCTGTAATTTACGTTAAATACAATTCGGTTGCACTCACCTGTGTTCTCCTTCACTACTTACTAAACTAATTGTATGATAGCGTTACTCTTGTTTATCGACAATCAATTCAGTGGAGTTTGTACACCACAATTGGAGGGAATAATAATGATAATAGTTGGTGATATTTGCCAAATGATTGGTTCAGTTATTTCGTATTTGTAATTCACTTGTTTTTATGAAATATAGTTATTATTATTAGTATTATATTGAATATTGAATCAAACACAGTCAATGATTATCTGGCAGTGTACTATAAATGTGTGTATGTATGTTTGTATTTGCATTATATTACTCATTAACTGTTTCATAACACACTGACTATTGTGTTTTATGTCTCAGTAATATTCACGGTAACATGATTGTTAGGATATTTATTCATCACATACCCTAAAGAAATTCTTTTTTAAGTCTAATTTCATTGGTCGATTCCTATTGGTCAATATTTAAGGTCGTCTCTGAACTATCAAGTTCACATACTGTTAAATGTTCTTTCATATTGGTTAGTATTCATGTATAAATATGCATTGTTTGTAAAGTTTTATGCTCCTCTTCTTTTTCTGTACGAAACTTCATATTTTCTGGATGGTTGTAGAATACACTTTCTACTCCATATCAAGACTTTTTGATGCTGTTAGTGGGGGCTTGGGAGGCTCGAATTAGATTAGCCTATTGTGTCAATGGATCATTTTTGTCTTAGCTTCCGTTTACCGACTAAGGTGAACTCGTAACAGCATTCAAGCATAACAATTACACACGATATTATATCAGTAATATACACATTCTTATCGTAAAAATGTAATTCACTGTTTCATGACTTTTAGAAAAACTAAATTTTCATTATTTAAACACTGACAAGTAAAATATATTTGTGGAAGTTGATCAGTTTAATAACTATGATCAAGTCTTAACCAAATTAGGTTTTTTCTACACTATAGTATATATATATGTAAGATTTTCAAAGTTTGCATCACAAACTGACCTTAGTTAAATAACCAGTCAAGTGACGATGTTCGAAATAACAGTTTTGTCCTGAAATGTGATTCTTTGTTGATAAACTCACCAAAAAACGTAACCCCAGACCATTGGTTCTCACAAGAAGGGCTCAGATTTACGTTCAAAATTGTACATGTCTCACTCATCCTAATACATCTACAAGATTGAATAACTATTATCCAAAGTCATCAGGGAGTGATTGCCTTGTACCTAACACACAGTCAGTCAGATGCAACGTAGAACTTTGTACGTAAGTACGTCAGTTCATGTTGCCATACCACATCGGCACAGAAATATAATTGTCAATTCGAATCCAATAGTAGAAGAGGTAGTAAAGGTATTAGAAGTAATCGGAAAGGTTACGATTAGAAGATATTATTCAAGAAGTATGATTCAGAGAGATAAGTTTAGAAAGACAAAACTAGAGGTGTTGAAGAATCCAGAAGATTAGGATTTGAGAGAACACAGAGAATAAATGCACCGGCGTCATTGCAAACGTTTTTGAGCCATGCTATTCAGGGTCTCTAATGATCGATTATTATCATCTCGCGGATCCCAACCAGGTAGTCGACAACTACCGACATGGCTAAGTCCACTCGTCAATGACTTCATGGATTTGTGCCATGTTTTGGTCTGGCCACCCCTAACTTCCTTCCAACCTATTCCTATACTACAAAATAAAGCTCGTCGAGGCAGTCGGTGGTTAGGCATATGCAGCACATGTCCCAACCACCTCAACTGATGAAGTTTTACCACTTCATCTATTGATCTGCCATTCTTACCTAGTACCCGATTCCTAATAACAGCGTTGCACACTCGGTTGTCCCAGAATATACGATCAATGCTTCGAAGACACCTATGATCAAAAACTAGTAACCCACGAATATCTTCTAACCTAACATACAGAGAGATTCCATTTATAATGAACAGATTGCTATGACTAATCTTATGATCTGATTAGGCATAATATGTCAATGACAATTCTCACTGAATCAAATGATGTACCGCATTTAAAATCATAAGCAACAATCATCAGAATGAAATAACAAGTTGATTATTATTTCTACACTCATAAATTTATACTTACTTTCATATTTACAAAAACATTTCTCTTGTAAACTTGATGGTTGTTCATTGAAAATATGATTGCTTATTGAATAATGATCAAATTGATTTATAGGCAACATAGGATTAGCCTAAATATTGTCAAAACAAAGAAATTGAAAAAACCGCTTGTTCAATATTCAATTTTTTTTTAAATTACCGCCAGTTCAATTCAACATTTGAATCATTTAATTTTTTTGTTAATGCAGGTTATCTAATTGGAAAAATTCATTGTTCACGACACAAAAAACTTAGATAAACAACTGACTGAAGTGTTTGTCCAATGTTTTAGCGACTCAATCGAACTGGTAAGAAGCTATAGATTTCAGTGTTATCAAGGAAAAACAAGTTATAACTAGGGTATAACTGACCTTTTAAGACTTACTTACTTACTTATGCCTGTAACCCCCAATAGAGCATAGGCTGCCGATCAGTATTCTACAACTCACTCTATCCTGGGCTTCCAGTTCTGTCCAATTTTTGTTGATTCTTCTCATGTTTGTCTCCAGTTCTCAGTGTTATGTGTTCCTTGGCCTTCCCGTCTTCCTTTAAACTTGGGGGTTCTTAGTGAGGGTTTGTCTTGTGACACAGTTGGGTTCTTCCCTGAATATGTATCCTATCCACTTCTAGTGATTCTTCCTGATTTCCTCCTCCACTGGAATCTGTTTTGTTCTCTTCCACCGTACATTGTTGCTGATCGTGTCTGGCCAAATAATCCGAAGTATTTTGTGTAGACAACTGTTAATAAACACTTTTATCTTCTGGATGATGGCTTTTGTAGTTTTCGAAGTTATGCCTCGGACAACAGGATTGTTTTAACACTTCTGTTGTTAGTTGTGTCTTTAGAGTTGGTTCTCGATAGTTGTTTTGATTTTCAAATGTTCGTCAAGAAGGTTGCATCAAATTTCAACAGAAATACCCGGCTACAACGTGATGTCTGTAAACCTAATTAGCTCCGAATCAAAGTACAGAACTTTTCTGTTGATACACTTACGCGAAAACAAACGGTATTCGAACTATCGTATAACCTAGATTAACGAATGTTTGATCTCATGATGCATAGAATCCACTCAGTTTCATAAACCAGAGACCAACGTTCACATATAAGAAACATGAATAACTGTCAATCCAGTTTTCTCATCCGGTTATGTAACGAAATGTCCAAGCTATTGATCATCTGGAAAGGAAGACTTAAGTTAAGGCAGACAGATTTTTAAAAGTATTCAGTCAGTCAGTAATTTACAACGTAGAACTTCGTATGTATGTACATCAGTTCAGGTTGCCATACCGCATCAACACAGTTAAGCAACTTTCAGTTCAAATCCAAGAGTGATAGCAATATTAGAATGGAGAACATAAAGGAGCGAAGATATGATTCGAGAAGCATAATTCACTGAGATACATTTAGAAAGCAAAAGATAGAGATAATGAGGAATTCATAAGATAAGAATTTGAGACCACACAATGAACAATTGCACCTACGCCGTTGCAAGCAATTAGAGCCATGTCGTTTAAGGTCTCTAACCATTGGTGACTTTCGTTTAGCGGACCCCAAACCAGATAGCCTACATCTACCAACATGACTCAGTCCACATGTTAGTGATTACGTGGATTTGTGCCATGTTTTGCTCAAAAGTATTGAATATAGAACTCTCAGTAAAACAAGAATGACAGAGCTGAAGTAGCTAGTGTGCAGCGTTAACTGAAATCATTTTCAATATGGCTACTGAAATTATTTATGATTTTAGCAATCATTCAGAACAACTTCAGTTCAATCGATTTCATGCATTACCACGATTGTTTCCTTATTTGTTTTCGAACTACTTACATTATTCATTTAAGTAGTTTAACATTTTTCGTTTAAAATACTTACCAAATATGGTTGATCAAAAGATTGATCGATTTCTGTATTGTTAACAACTACATTTTGATCAGTGTCAACAAGTGAATTTTGTATAACTTCGGAAAAATCCATTGCTGTAAAATATCCAATTGTTTTTCGGTTGTATCCACTAAAAGTGCAGAAACATATATAAAACAAATTAATAATGGTTCGTGGCGAAATTTAGGATTCATGTTTCGTTCAATTTATGACTTACTAGTTAAGTGTACTTGTATGTTTGTGTTGTTATTCCGATTTGGAATTGGAAACACTATTACTTGGCGATATAATCTAGATCGCTGTAAAATTACTGACTGAGAATATCAACACTGTGATGTACATTGATCAAACTGACGAGTTCTGAGAAGGAAAGCGTAAGGCATCTCAGTCTCCACTACTAACTATGATATATGTATCTTCAAATGACTTTTGACAAACTAACATTATGGATACGACTCTCACATTCAGTTTTGAACATCGAAATCCTTATTATTCATAATTTTAGACTCCTAGTATATGGATACTACTCACAAAGTGGCTTTTAAGTAGTATGCAGCAAAGTGTCACTTACAAGTTGCTACCAGAGAGAAGAGTGTCAAGTGAATGAAACGCATGGGATGATCAGAGTATTCTGAAGATTAGGAAACGTTTGAGAGGAGATGGTTGAAGATAATCAGTAACATATTTCGTAGACAATCTGTTTCCTCCTCTCTCGCCTGAGTTATTAAGTTAAACTAGATGGTTGGTGTTTCAAAATTCATTTTATCTCTGATGTTTTGTCACTAAAATTTATTGCCATTAGTGTTATCACTCCTATAATCCATAAGTATTTGAACTGTATAACTATTAGGATTTTTGATATGCTCGTCATTTGATATGCTTGAATGCTATCTACGAGTTCACCTTACTTGGTAAACGAAACGAAGAGCAATTACTTACTGACACGATAGGCTATTCTAATCCGATTTTCTCAGGCTCCACTAACTACATCAGTAAGTCTTGAAAAGGCGTTGAGGATGTATTCTGTAAGCACCTAGAAAATACGAGGTTGCTAAGCACACAAATCAAGCTTATTTATACAATGATAGAAATTGGCCTTGGGAGAGCCACAAAATAGTGTACTAAAATAATCCATCAACCAGTGATGACAGTCAAGGATTTTACGAGTAGGAAATGTAAGCTCCTCTTGGCTCGAAAACATAGAAACTCAAAACTTCAGATAGGAATTACAAAATTAGGACTTTTTCCCTACTGAGTTCTGGCGATCTAACATCCCACCCACAATTTTAGAAATACACTTCATTGGTAATCCTTTAAGCATAGATAGTTATTTTTTAAGATAAGAAGTATTTTAACTTCCAACAAAACTTATATACGATCATTATTTAACTAACATCAATTTACAATGTCACCACTACAAGTGTGAATAATCCCAACAATCTTAATCGGCCAGAAGTGGAATCCAGGATATTGACCAATCGCAATCCTAAACATCAATAAAAATAATCTCAAACAATCAATACAAACGGATTGATCTTCACTTCAGTGCACACACATGAGTAGCTCAATAGCTAAATGGATTACACGATAGGTGTTTGAAGTTAACGGCACTGGGTTCGAGTCCCGAAGTGAATATCAACTCTGAGACATGGCAGGTACATCCAACTGATATATCCCAAATAGGGTGAAACGCACGTCCTGAATCCCACTGTTAACCACAGTTCATCTCTGCTAGCAATATTTGTAATCTCTAAAGACAATATCGATGAGATCCACACAAGTGACTGATCAATTCACAATCTTAAACATCCCTAGGATAAGATTCAAACAAGTAATCTCAATCATTTGATTAAAAGAAAACTTTCTTCATATTTTTTTTATTAAATAAAAAAAATAATAGTCACATACCTTGTTTCATTTTGACAATGACTATTCTTATCAGATGATGGCATCAATTTACATTTAATACATAAATATTGATTAAATCGTTGAAAATATTTACATTTTCTTTGAATATATGATAAACCAATGAATAATAACAGTAGAATTGTTGACAGTAATAAAATGAGACTGATTATAATGATAACAATATATCCATTTCTTGTAAATGTATCTAAAAAATACAAAATAAAATTGTACATTGAAATATATTTTTCTGGAAAAGAAACACTCCATTAAACGTATTGAGTATTGAGTTCGTCACTAAGTATGCTTGAGGCTATAACAAGTTTACCTTAGTCGATAAACGCGAACGAGGAGACAATCAACCAGCGTCCAGATAGGCTACCTTGAATCCCAAACTGTACAACAGAAGGCTTTGTAAGCGTAGAAAGTATATTCTACAAACACCCAGCAATCACACAATACAATCAAGCATACAACTCTCCTTTATTTATACATCATAGAAACATCCTTGAGACAGTTAAGAAAACAGCACACTAAAATACACAGCAGACAATCACAGCCATGGATTTTCCAGGTGGGAATTAAAATCTCAAGGTCAAATGGTCAGTCCATGCTGACAAACGTGAAAGCTGAAATAAAGCATTTATCAAGCGAATTTTAGGGATCTAACATCCCCAACAATTAGTTAATGATGGATTATCAGTATAAAAAAGTGGTGGAGATTGTTGTGTTTTAGTGGAATGATGAATTGATCAATGAGAGATCATCGTTGGCAACTGACCTTGAAGCACTAAATGGTGGTTTCGTCCTAACTGGGGATTCATCAGCTGTGTTCAGTCATGACACTTACACGCGGGAATCAAACCAAGGACTTTCAGTCTTGTGAGTTTAGACTTCATCTCTAGACTATTGAGCTGGCTGGCATCCAATGGTGTTAATGTCTAACTCTGATCAATCTAAGGTTTTGAGCACCGTCACCTATTGTCTTGACTGCCTGCAATCGACAAGGTTGAACTAGAGTGATTACGGCTTCTTAATAGAACTCCTAAGATTTCCTCCAACAAGCTAGTCACTAGTGAGTACGTAATAGTTGTCATTATAGGATTGTATAGACTGTTGAGTTTCATTAAAATCATGGACTGAATAATCGTTAGACCATCACTGTACTACTACATAAATACGCTATCCAGCCGATATTTAGAAACCGAAAGCATCAGACGGCCGTTTCGTCCTGGTATGAGACTCATCAGCAGTGCAATACATTGGATTGATTAAAGTTAGACATTAACACCATTGTCATGTCAGCTCACTAGTCTAGAGGGTAAGCGTTCGATTAAGAGACTGAAAGTCTTTGATTCGACTACCACGAGCAGGAGTCCTGGATGCATATTACTGAAGAGTACCGATCTTTGACAAAGCAGCTGTCCACTACGTCCAAGTTTCGAATGTTGGTCTAATAATGATCGATTCTTGACTTCAATGATATCCAAAAATTATCAAAGCTCATATGGGAATCATTAAATTGTCTATATGGTTGAGAAAATATTATGAAGAATTATAAATAACTAGCTGATACTCAAATACATAATGTTTTTGTATACAGTGGTTATTTCTGGACTCCATCACATTTGACACTACAAACTTTTGTATAACCAAATGAACTACTTAAATAGGTAAAAGTAGTCAAATTTGATTAAGAAAACTAATAGCCCTTGTGTATTTCCAAAGCACATTAAAAAAAATCAAATGACTTACATTGATTTAAATACAAATTTATCTTATATGAACTAGATCCCATTAAATTTGACAATGAACATTGATAAACTCCTTCATCATTTAAATTTAAATTATTGATTTGTAAAGTAATTATCCATCCAAATGTAAATTGTTTATAAATAAATTTATATTTCGGTATAAAATTATAAGGAAAATGAATTGGAAATTGGAAATTCTTGATTGTTGAATTTGGCGGGACGACGACATGATTATTGAACATTGAATCCTCTGACAGAATATATTCATTATTCAATGACCATATTGGATATGTGAAATTGATTGGTGGGAAACTGATCACATTACATATAAGATGAATTGATTTGCCTATGATTCCATAAACTTGTGAATGACTATGTATAAAAGGTTTTTCTAAAAATTAATGTTATTTTGAAACATGAAGTAGAAAAAATGGCGGTATTTAAATATTCAGAAAAGATATATTTTTTGTATAGGTAAATAGTAATTCAAATTTTCAATATTCTGATTGAATAATTTTTAAAATTTAATCGACAGTACACAACATCACATTTCAGGTGATCGACTGGATTATGAAGATGTCAACATCTGAAGGAGGGAAGCATGGTATAGAATGAACAGTCAGGATGCAGCTGGACGATCTGGAATTCGCAGATTTTCCGTCTCTTCTATCGCACACACAACAACTAATGCGAGAGAAGACGATTAATGTAGAAGCAACTTCAGCAGCAGCACGTTTCAACATACATAAAGGGAAAAGCAAGATTCTCCGATACAACACTACACTCCTGATGAGGATGCCTTGGAGGACGTTGACACCTTTACATATCTGGGAAGTATCATTGACAGTCAAGGTGGATCTGATGCAGATATGAAGGCCAGGATCAGGAAAGCAAGAGCTGCATTTCTACAACTGAACAACATACGGAACTAAAAACCACTACCAATCAACACCAAAATAAGATTTTTCATTATAAATGTCAAGACAGTTCTACTGTCTAGAGTGGAAACTTGAAAAATAATCAAAGACATCAGCCACTAGATACAAGTATTTATCGACAGTTGTCTACGCGAAAGACTTCGGATCCATTGGTCAGACACCATCAGTAACAATCTACTGTGAGATAAAACAAACCAGATTCCAGTGGAGGAAGAGGTCAGGAACAAGCACTGGAAGTGGATAGGACATACAGTAAGGAAAGCACCTAAATGCGTCACAAGACAAGCCCTCACATGGAACCCTCAAGGCGAAAAGAAAAGAGGAAGGCCAAGGAACACAATACACAGAGAAATAGAGAAAGACATGAGAAGAATGAACAACAGTTGAACAGAATTGGAAAGAAAGGCTCATGACAGAGTAGGTTGGAGAATGCTGGTCGGCGGCCTATGATCCATTGGGGTTAATCAGAGTAAGTAAGCAAGTAACCACATAACTTCTTCAATTCACTCCGCTTTTCTTGCACGCTTTACATTCTCATGTCTGTCTGATTCAATGTGTATGCATGAAATAAATTCAGCCGCAAAACCGTATCGGGCTTCTTATTACCAAAGTCACACAAACAGAGTTTGCCTAATTAAAATATACGGAATGGGAAATAAGATTTAGTTCACCGCATCCTCAATCACTCATCTAAATTGGAGTCAAGTGTCGGACCAGTAAACTGATGAGCGATGACTTGAATTTAACAGTTTCCTTAGTATACCGTATTGACAAATTTCAAAATACGATTACTGAAATCATGAATCAATCATTGTTTGACTAATATTAGAAATTCGAAAGCACTGAAAGAGTCGGCCGTTTCTACCTAATATGAGACTCATCAGTGGTAGTGTGCATTCACGACTCCTGCCATCCGTACGATTCAAACCCAAAACCATCGTTCTTTCAAGCGAACGCTTAACCTCATGATCGATCTATGATTTTGTACAACCTCATCCGTTGTCTTCGGTATGTAAGTGCTTACAACTGACAGAGGTGAACTTCAGTGGTAAAGGCTTCTCACTAGGACTTCAAGAATTTCTTCCTGCAGCTAGTTAGTAGTGAGTACATTCTATTTTTTTAAAAAATATTAGTGTTGAATGTCTGATATTTTTCATTAGTTTAATGATAGAATTTAAGGATACTTCAGTAATAGTGTAAAATAAACGCTTAAGAAAGTTATGTTCAACAGTTAATACCTTGAATATCCGAATCCTTGAAAATGATCACTCATATACTGTCATCATTGATCATTATCTACCCACAATTTAATTGAGAACAGTTCCTAATGTAATTATAGTGTGTCAGTCGGCAAGATATTATCCAGAAGATACAAGTATTTATTAACAGTTGTCTATGCAAAATACTTCGGATTCATTGGTCAGACACCATCAGAATCATCGTACTGTGGGAGAGAACAAACGAGATTCCAGTGGAGGAGGAAATCAGGAAGAAGCGGTGGGGTTGGTGGATAGGACACACACGTGACGGAAAGCAGCCAACTGCGTCACAAGATAAGCCCTCACATGGAACCCTCAAGGTAAAACGAAAAGAGGTAAGCTAAAGAACACATTATGCCGAGAAATAGAGAAAGACATGAGAAGAATGAACAAACATTCGACAGAACTGGAAAATGGAAGCTCAGGACAGAGGTAGTTGTAGAAAACTGGCGGGCAGCCTATGCTCCTCTATTGGTGATAACAGGCGTAAGTAAGTACGTAAGTAATTAGTTGGCAAGATGGTTTGTTAATCAATCAATCACACACTCAATCACTCATCCAATTAACTAATTAACATTTTAATCAATCAGTCGTTGTATCAATGAATTAAAACTATAAAACAAAGTGAAGAAATAGAAAAATTAAAAACACCTGCTTTCAAAGTGAAATTCTTCTAGTTCAGTGATGGCAACGTTTCAGACAATGTACGTAACTGAATGTTGTCGTCTGTTCAAATTCCATGAAAGATATATCAGTTACTTTAAAGATTGCACCTTACACCTAGACGACTAAACTTAGATTAGAACAAGGTTTTTAAGAAGTATGCGAAAATAATTCTGAACATTAAATTTTGGTATCTGAAGAATTCTTCACTCAATAATACTGACATTTATATACAATCTATGGAACTTTCTTCAAAACTACCCGCGAGATGATTGTCACCATCATAAGGAATTCTTATGATGGACTACACTGCAAATTTTTACACGGGGAGCAGTTCACACATGTATTCAAAATAAAGATTGTTTTCAGACAAGACTTCTTCATTTTGTTGATTCTTTAGGTTGAATGGACTATGAAGATCTCCAAAACTCAAGGATAATCACGAAATACAGTGGACAGCTTGGATGCAGCCGGAAAAGATAACCAGGGTAACATCAGCGTCTGGAGCAATAGGTATTAACATACGCAAGGGAAAAAGCAAGATCCTTCGTTAGAACACATCATGCACTAATCAAATCACACTTGATGGAGAAGCTTTGGGGAATGTAGAAAATGTTACATACTTAGGCATGAACAATCATTGACAAGGTGGATCAGATGAAGATTAGCGAAGCCAGGATATCATTTCTACAGTTGAAGAACAGCTGGAACTCAAAACATCTATCTGTCAACCAATGCCAAAAATAGAATTTTCAATACGAACGTCAAAGCCAATTTATTGTATAGAGCAGAAACTTGAAGAACAATGAAAGTCATCATCCAAATGTTACAAGTGTCTACTGACAGTGGTCTACAAAAGATACTTCGGATCTACTGGCCAGACGCCATCAGCTGTTAAACCAATCAACTTCAATTCAAGAAGCATAAGTACACTATATGTATATTAAATGACTTAGATTGTTATTATCAAACTAGATGACACCCAACTTATGCAAAACTAGAAACAAATAGATTTAGTTTATAGTTTATTTATTCATGAGATGTAGACAACGGGTTTTCGATCATGATTAATTAGTGTAAACTACTAACCATAGATTTATCGGTTGAAACTCATTGCTACTAAAAAGTAAGGATTGTGATTGAATATTTGAACACTGATTAACTACGCTAAACATATTGATTGTTATTCACATTTCGTTGACAAACAGTACAGGATTTGTTCAGTGTCACATTCTGTACAGATGGATGAGAAATTCAGTTATGTATGAGTTTAGGTGTCATTATGAAGAGATCAGTCAGTTAACTAACAATATTCAGATTACACATTTTTGAAACCATGAATCGGTCAATGTTAGGCCACCATTATAAACCTGGAAGCACTGGACTGCCGTCAAGTCCTGGTATGGGACTCCTCAGCAGTGCGCATCCACGACTTCTGCACCCCGCAGAATTCATGGTCTCAAAAATGTGTAACCTAACAATCTTCACAACCCCGTAATGCAAATTACCTGTGCTCACTAGTGACTAGCTTCGTGAGGAATCTTCTCTGAGTTCTAGTGGGAAGTTGTGTGACCAGTGAAGTTCAGCCTCTTCAGGTGTAGACAGTAACTACCGAACACTGTGTATGAGGTTGCGCAACTTCGTGAATTGATCAAGTTAGACATTAACACCTTTAAGTACCGTCTCAGTGGTCCGATGGTTAGGCGTTCGCCTACAAAGCCGAAGGTCCTGGGTTCAAATCCTGCAGGGTGCAGGAGTCGTGGATGCGCACTGCTGAGGAGTCACACACTATGACGAAACGGCTGTTCAATGCTTCCAAGTCTTTAATGGTGGTTTAACATTGATCGATTCATGGTTTCAAAAGTGTGTAACAATCTTCACAACCCCGTAATGCAAAAATTTAAATTGACTAAGTCGTGATAATGATAAATACGGTTGTTCACACCGAATAAACAAGAAACAGATTCTCTACATCAGTATTTAATAATTCTGTTATTCTCATGAGTATAAAAAAACTGGGTCAAACAGGAATTATTAGTCAGTCAATTAGAGTTAATGAGTGTCATTTACATTAGCAAGAATTTGAATGCATCTCAGGTTTGTACATAGAAAATGAACAAATTAATGTTTTTTCTTCGTTCAAAATTCAATATATTTGAATTTCTAGAATGAAATTCAGTCGATTAGTCAACCGACTCGCTCTCATTCACTGTCACTCACTCACTCACACACACACACATCAGCATACACATCATGGGAGATTAAGTCGACCTGGTTCAAATCTATTAGATAATATCATTATTATCTGTTCTCTAAAATGTATCAAAATCTCTAAAGAGTTTTTATATATCAAGTCTATCCCTTAAAAAGAAAGTCAAATGTAATAAACTTGCATTACAAGTTCAGTCAAATTGAATACTCATCTTCATACTCTCTCTTCCTCTAAAAATTTGAGAAATGTCATGAACTCTGTTGACTAATAAATGTATGTAATTGAATTTTTCATACATTTTTAAACAAAATGGAATATGAAAATATCCTGAAGGCACATTGAGAAAAAATTGGTTTTCAATTTGGTCAATTTGACTAATACTGTTTTGTTGAAATCATGAATCAATCATTGTCAGACCACCATTAGAAACTTCTGAAGCACTAGATGACTGTTTCTTTCGAGTTTACGATTCATCAGCAGTGTGTATTCACGAAAACCACTCACGAAAATCATACCAGTCAGGACCTTCGGTCTCGCCTGCGAACGCTCAACCTCTCGAAGACTGGGTCAGCATCCGACAGTAGTAATGTCTAACTTCAATCAAGTCACAATTTTATGCGACCTCTTCCATTGTGTTCGCTTGTAAACTATCTCACACTCGACATAACTGTGGTTCACTGGTCATGGCTCATTAGTGAATAGCTTTTTGAGGAAATTCTCTGAGTTCTGTTGAGAAGCCGTTAGACACCGGCTCAGCAGTTTAGAGGTTAAGCGTTCTGGCGCGAGACTAGAGGTCTTGAGTTTGATTCCTGAGTGCTAGTGTCAGGGATGCACACTACTGAAGAGTCCCATATTAGGACAAAGCGGCTGGCTGGTGCTTCCAGGTTTTTAAATGATAACCTAACAGTAACCGATTCATTATTTAAATCAAACTCAATGACATTTACAACCTGATAATGAAAATCGCAACCTAAGATAATCACACGTTAAATAAAGAAACTGGGGTTTCCAACAATTATTGTGAATAATGACTAGGAGCAGAATCTAAAACTCTTGTTGATGTATATGTATTCGTGTCCATATTCAAATTTAAGTTTGAACTCTATATCTTTCGCTTCAAGTGTCTAGTATGTTATGTATATTCGTTTTGGTTTTCAATTTGGTCAACGTGACTAACATTATTTCGTTGAAATCATGAATCAATCATTGTCAGATCACCATTAAAAACTTCTGAAGCACTGGATGACTGTTTTGTTCTAGTATAGGATTTATCAGCAGTGTGTATTCACGACGACCACTGCTCACGAAAATCATACCAGTCAGGACCTTTGATCTCGCGTGAGATCGCTCAACCTCTAGACGAGTGAGTCGGCATTCAATGGTGTTAATGTCTAGCTTCTATCTATTTACAATTTTGTACGGCCTTATCAAATAAGTTCGGTTGTTAACTACCTCTCACCCAACTCGGCTGAACTCCATTGGTCACGGCTCACTAGTGACTACTTATAAGTTCCATACTAGGATGGTTTAACAACGATCTACTCATGATTTTTATGAAACGTAATAATTTCTACAGCTCTATGATGGAGAAAGCTATATTAATATCTTCAGGCAGAGTTTTGGAGGTTTGTGTTTTTACACTTTTGAAATCATCAGTCAATCATTGTTAGATCACCATTATAACCCTGGAAGCACTGGACGGTTGTTTCGCCCTGATATGGGATTCATCAGTGGCAATGTGCATCCACGAATCCTACACGTCGCAGGATTCGAACTCGGGACCTTCGGTATTGAGCGCGAACGCATAACCATCGGACCACTGGGCCGGCATCCAACGGTGTTAATGATATCATAAAATCAGCTTATCGGAACGATTTAGCCTGTCGGTAATACATTTTAAAATGGATTGGTTAAAAATCATTTTAGTGGCCCACGATCTGACTCCAATGCAGTGGAAGAAATGAATATGCCATGAAATAAAGCTCTCTTTGCATTTCCGTATATCATACTTAGGTGAACTCCGTTTGTGAGACAGTAGTAATGAGAAGCCAAATATGAATTCTGTTGGATGAGTTTATTTCATGTAATCGCGCAAGGGGACAGGCATGAGAATACAAAGCGTAAAAGCAAAGCGAAGTGAATTGGAGGAAGTGAGTGAGCCAAGTCAATGCGATGAGTTATGGCTAAGTGTTTTTAGTCAGACAAAAATAGGCTGCACATATGCTAAGCGAACTAAGCAATGCATATACTCACTGAAGTGAAAACAAACCAGATTTTAAGCGAATAGCTGACCAAGGTCAAAAATATGTAAAGAACGATTCGCTCGGAAAAGGTCATTTGCACTAGAAAGAAAGATTGTACAGAAATATCTTGTTGGATTTTATGGACTGTTCTCTGCTGAATATGTGGTTTTATGATAATGAAGGTAGATTCGGATCTAGCTGCATCCCTGAGTTTATATTCCCTCCAGGACTCGATCTCAATACCACTTGAATCAAATGACATCATTTTATTCACTTAGTTAATGAGTTCAGACAGCCACTGACTTATGCGATAGGGTGTAGTAGGACGAAACATTCGTCCTGGGTTCCTTTGATACCCATTGTTTGCTTCGAATATATGTAATCGAAAGGCAATATCGAGTTAGTTCGCGCAGAATTTGCATACGCCTACAGTGACTGACCAATCATAGTTCGAAACATCAATGGAAAGATTCAGAAATTCAATACAGATTAATGTATATTCGTTTTGAAATGAAGGCAATTGCTAATAATAATAATAATAATTATTATTATTATTATTATTATTATTATTGTTGTTGTTGTTGTTATTATTATTATTATTATTATTATTATTATTATTATAGTATTTCCACAATTGAACAACATCTGAAACTCCTAACAAATATCAATCAACACCAAAATCATAATTTTCAACACAACTTTCAAGTCAATTCTACTGTATGGGGTGGAAAGATGGAGAACTACCAAAGCCATCATCCAGAAGATACAAGTGTTTATTAACAGTTGTCTACGCAAAATACTTCGTATTCGGTGGCCAGACACCATCAGCAACAACCTAATGTAGGAGAGAACAAACCAGATTCCAGTGGAGGAGGAAATCAGGAAGAAGCGGTGGAGTTGGTGGATAGGACACACACTACGAAAAGCACCTAACTGTGTCTCAAGATTAACCCTCATTTGGAACCCTCAAGGACACAGGAAAAGAGGAAGGGGTAGGAACACATAACGCCAAGTAATGGAGACAGACATGAGAAGAATGAACAAAAATTGGACAAAACTGGAAAAGGAAGCCTAGCACAGATTAAACTGGCAAATACTGATTGGTGGCCTATGCTCCTTTGTAGGTAAGTAAGTAAGTAAGTAAGTAAGTAAGTAAGTAAGTGCATAAGTAAGTAAGTGCATAAGTAAGCAAGTAAGTAAGTAAGTAAGTAAGTAAGTAAGTGCATAAGCAAGTAAGTAGGTAAGTAAGTAAGTAAGTAAAAGCATAAGTAAGTAAGTAAGTAAGTAAGTAAGTAAGTAAGCAAGTAAGTAAGTAATTAAGTAAGTGCATAAGCAAGTAAGTAGGTAAGTAAGTAAGTAGGTAAGTAAGTAAGTAAGTAAACGCATAAGTAAGTAAGTAAGTAAGTAAGTGCATAAGTGCATAAGTAAGTAAGTAAGTAAGTAAGTGCATAAGCAAGTAAGTAGGTAAGTAAGTAGGTAAGTAAGTAAGTAAGTAAAAGCATAAGTAAGTAAGTAAGTAAGTGCATAAGTGCATAAGTAAGTAAGTAAGTAAGTAATAATAGTTTCCGAATGAAATCAAATATCACTAATTAAATTGCTTCGATTTGTATTTCCCAGAAAATATTCAATGTTTCAACTCATAAAATACTGATCAATTATCAACTGAGAGTTAGAAAAAAAGCTATCTTAAGCTATATATATGATGTTTTACATACCTGCTTGAACAATAAATCGATTTGCTGATTGACTATCAAATCCAGTTAAACTAGCTATACATGTAAACTTCCATAGCTTAATTTGAAAATCAACATTTTCCAAGGTCATAATATCATCTTCTGTATCAGCACGGTGTTTAGGCTTATTCAAATATTGTTCATCAATAATCCATGCATTATTCGAATTCACTGTGATCGATTCCATTGAAGATTGAAGTTGTTCTAAATTCAATTGTAAACTATGACCATTGGATAAATAAACACGTGTATTATTATTTGGTGTCCATGTAAACCATTCAATTTGACCGGGTGGATTAAAATCTGTTTGACACTATATATTAAAAGAAAGACACAAATACGATTGTTCAATCAGATTAGAGGAGATCGAAATCATAAATCAATCATTGTTAGGTCATCATTAGAAACGCTGGAGCAATGGATGACCGTTTCGTCCTGGTATGGGACTCATCAGTAGAGTGCATCCAAGACTACTTCTACTTGCAGGATTAGAACCTGTAGCCTAATGTCTGAACCACTGAGCTAGCACCCGACGGTGTTAATGTATAACTCTGATCAATTTAGGCAACCTCAACCATTTTTCTTTGGTAGGTAACTGCTTACACCCGACAAGGTTGAACTACACTGATCACGTCTTCTCAAATTGTGTTCGTGCACAAGACCCAAGGCTTCGGGTTCGAATCCTGCAAGTGGAAGGAGTCCTGGATGCACACTGCTAGTGAGTCACATACTATGACGAAATGGCTATCAGATGCTTTCAGGTTTCTAATGGTTGTCTAACAATGATTGATACATGATTTCAATTAATAAATAGGGTTGTCTAATTAAGTTAGGTAGATAGTTAAAAACATACTCACTAGCTAATTTCTTCGAAAAGATTTTAGCTTAATTGGTAAAACTTGTCTGGTGAAGCTTTGGGTTTCACATCATGTGAAATTTTATGTATACATGTATATATTATAGTGTAGTGAAGGAGAACACAGGTGAGGACAACCGAATTGTATGAAACGAAAATTAGAGAGTTACTCAGTAAAATAGGAAAACCATATCGTAAACGGTGAAATTTGCAAAACATCAATCCATTGTCTGACATTTCACCGCTATTCACGAGTTTCATACAAATTCCATTGTTTTCTAACTCTTCCTTTCTTGATCTTCCCCCATCTTCTGCTGCCACCAGACATTACGTTTACACTCGCGTCATATACTACTTATAAGTAGCGCGCACCACAATGGTAGTCGTAATGTGAACTGTTCAAGCAGATGACATTTTAGGAACTTCATAAATGAAAAACTATGAGCTGTGTGAGTGATCCAAATAAAACTCCAATGTAAATTTATTGAATCATCAGAATACTGAACCTCAGCCTTCCTTTCCAGCTCTGTCCAACTGGTATTTATTCCTCTCATGTCAGTCTCCAATACTCGGCGTAATGTGTACTTTGGTGATCCTCTTTTCCTTTGACCTTCAGGATTCCAAGTGAGGGCTTGCCTCATTACTCAGTGGAGTTGTAGTGAACGAGAACACAGGTGGGGCAACCGAATTGTATTTAGCGAAATTACAGAGTTACTCAGTAAAATTGGAAAACCATATCGTAAATTGTTCATTTGCAAAATATCAGTTCATCATATCGAACTGGACTGTTCCTGTTGCCAAACATCAATCCAATGTCACTGTTCATGCGTTTCATACAAATTCCATTGTTTTCTAACTCTTCCTTTTTTGATCTTCCCCCATATTATGCTCACACCACAGAGTGATTTCCAAAATGTGACCTACCCACCTCCACTACTTCTTCCTAATTTCCTCTTCACCTGAAATGTGGTTTGTTCTCTCGCACAGTAAGTTGTTGCTGATGGTTTCTGGCCAACAATTTCGCCGTACCTTTTACAATAAACTGATGATGGATACCTGTATCTTTTTGATGACGTTTGTAATCCTTTAAGTTTCCGCTTGCTCCACAAACTAGAACTGTCTTGAAGTTCACTTTGAAAATTCTGACTTCAGTGTTGGCTGACAAATAGTTGTTTTGAGTTCGAAATGTTCTTCAATTGTAGAAGTGCAGCCAATGGTTTGTTAATCCGTGTCTTTATATCTGCACCGAATCCTTCTTTTTTATCATTGGTGCATTCCAGGTGTGTAAACGTCTCTACATCTTTCAAAGCTTCTTCTTCAAGTGTGATTTGGTTAGTGCATGCTGAGTTGTATCGAATGTTCGTGCTTTTTCCCTTGAGTATCTAAGACCAGTTGCTGCAGAGGGTGATGCACTACTGGCCGTCTTCTCGTGAATTTCTCGTAGTGTGTTGAACAGAAGAGGTAGGCCATATGCGAAGTTCAACTTGAGCACTTTTAGGGCTACTGCCGCTCCCAAGTCTGAATAAAGAAGGACAGTTCAGCATAGGGTTAGCCACTTCATCTCGTAGAAAACAAACTTGCTAAAAAAAATGAAAACCCCTAACCATAAAAGATAATTCAATTTTCAACTTATCACTTACCAATAATGTTATATCTTGTGTTATATACACATAGTCTGTAGATTCTGTTGAACAAAATGTTTTCATGCTTTTACCAAATATAGAACAAGGATAAATGATATGAAATTGATTTTCAGGATTATTTATATACGGTCCATCTATGATAGAAATTAAAAATTTCGCGAAAAAATAGATTAAACAGTCAATTCGCTGATTAGCGGTTGATTAATTTTGTTCACTTCATGGGTTTTATGAAGGAAGAGTGATAGAATAAATACTGAGGAAAAGATGGTGTTTGAAAGTCATAAAATGTGCTCACTAGTGATTAGTTTCCTGAGGAAACACTTGAAGTTCCAGTGAAAAGTTGTGACCAGTGGAGTTCAGCTGCTTTGAGTGTAAACAATTACCCATCAAAGACAATGTTTGAACACATTTGAAATCATCAATCAATCATTGTTAGACTATCATTAGAAACCTGGAAGCACCACTGGACGGCCGTTTCGTCCTGGTATGGTGGTCTAACAATGATTGATTGATGATTTCTTGCTCTCAAAAATGTGTAACTTAACAATCTTTACAACCCCGTAATACAAATTACCTGTGCTCACTAGTGACGACTTGCTAGTTGAGGAATCTTCTCCGAGTTTTAGTGGGAAGACGTGACCAGTGAAGTTCAACCTGTTCAGGTGTAGACAGTAACTACCGAACACTGTGTATGAGGTTGCGCAACTCCGTGAATTTGATCAAGTTAGACATTAACACAGTTAGATACCGGCTCAGTTGTCCGATGGTTAGGCATTCGCGCACAATATCGAAGGTCCTGGGCTCGAATCCTGCGAGGTACAGGAGTCGTGGATGCGCACTGCTGATGAGTCCCACACCAGGACTTGTCGGCCATCCAGTGCTTGCAGGTTTCTAATGGTGGTCTAACATCGGTCGATTCATGATTTAGATATTTGAAACCCTGTACATATAATTGTTATCATAAATATATTTCTTTCATGTGCTTTTCAAATAAATCTACTTTTATACATCTGAACAACACAGCTATAAGCGGACAATATTACTGTTTTCAAGTAGTTCGTCGTCATTAGGCTTTGCTCTTATTATTAAACGTGAATATTTTAATATGAAAATGTCAAATCAATCAAGGTAATTTACGATAATTCTATAATGACATTTAAATTAACCTTCGATCTCTCTAGTGAACGATTCAGAACGCTCTAGACCATTGAGCGAACATCCAATGACGTTAAATATTTAATTTTAATCAATCCAAAGTGATGCGCAACCGCACGTGATGTCTCCCGTTGGTATCTGCCTCACATCCAACACAGCTGAACTCCATTGATCACGGTTTCTCAGTAGAACTTCGGGAATTTCCTCACGAAACTGATCAGTAGTTAGCACAGTTATATGATTTTCAATATGGAGTTAAAAAGGTGTTCTATTTTTATTAAAAACGTTTACCTAGTAGCCTGTTTAATTAAAATCTCATGTCTTGTTTTCAACGACATTACGTATGAAAAAATAACGCCTTGTTTAAAACCTACTTCAAAATGTTTAAAGAATTCAAGCGGGAAAACTTTCCAACTTTTATTAAATCGGCCCTTGTTAACTCTATTCATTTAAAGTTGTGTTTTATTTCACTACCAAAATCTTTCGTTCTACTAACGAAATGAAATCAGGATCGGACAAATCCAGTAACAAGAATGACAGTAGAAATTTGTAATGTCAAATAATTTTTATCGACAAATTTAGTCATTTCATGCGCACTACTGATGAGTCCTTGTACAAGGACGAAACGGCCGTCCAATGCTTCCAGGTTTCTAATGGTAGCCTAACAATGATTGGTTCATGGCTCCGACAATTTCACGAAATAACACAATATGCATCTAGGCTTATTGCTAGATATATCTGTTTTAGTTTGAGTCAGTCAATTAGTCAGTAAGCTACAACATAGAACTTTGTACATACATTAGTACAAACAGCTGGAATTGCCACTTCAAATCCCGTAGTAGTATATGTAACATAAGTGGTGATGATTAGGGTGTGAAGAAACAAGTCAAAAATTACAATCTAGTGAAATCAATTTCAGAAGTGAAAAAAAAATCGATCATGAGGAATACAGAAGATTAGAATTGCAGAGAATACAATAAATGGATGCATCTACGCCATGGCAAACGATTTCCAGCCATGTCACATTCAAAGTCTCTAACCATTGGTGTAAGATCCATTTTTTGAAGGTTTTGTTTGGTGAAAATCCCTTCATGTATACATTTGTAATTTGTTCTTATTCATTGCTTCAGTCGTACATTTTGTTAGCCTGTTCGATTCCATTTTGAGAAGACAATATTTGTATTTTATTAAAGTTTCTTTTTCTTCTGCCTTCACTGAATCTCTGTGTTTCTTTCTGAACTGTAATTTATGTTGTTTAAGCTGATACTTGGTCATGGCGATAGCCATATTGATTTGTTTCTCTTTTGATTGTGTCACTTGCTTGGAGTGGAATTGTGTATTTTGATTGTGAATTGAAGCACTCTTCCAGAATAAGAAGCACTCTGGGTTATAAAGCAACCAAATATTATCTTTCCAACGAATCTGATCTATCCAGGAGGGATAGAATAACATTTATTTGTAGCTGTTCATTTGATTAATTGAACAATTGTTGGTGGAATGACTGAGTGGTAATATTTGTTTAGGTAATGATGTACATTTATATTTATGATGAATATTAGAACCGTTATTGACCCAAATCACTTGTTTTTTAGTTTCAAGGCGAGTATCTAAACTACCTAGGCAGTTATTCCTCAATCCAAACCTCAGTTTGGATTCTACTATCGGTTATTATTGTCTCTTGCGGACCTCAACCAGATAGTAGTCTACATCTACCAACACGGCTTTACTGTCAGTATACAGATCAATGTGATATACAAAATAAATAATCAGACACAATTTTACTGGTATTTAATGCCACAAAAAGTAAGAATAGTTTTTTTCTCCAGGAACCCCCCGACTAAAATATCATATCCACACGTATATTAAGATGTCGTAGATAAATTCGTCGCTCAAGTGTTCCCATAAGCGAAACATCCAAGTCAGAAAACGAATGAAACTCACATCATAATACTGTTGGGGACGTTAGATCCTCAGAACTCACTTGATAAAAGTCCTAATTTCGGATTTTATTCATGGGCTGATCAGCTGACCTTGAGATCACATTTCCCACTAGGAAAATCCTTGACTGTGTTATTTTAGTGTGCTATTTTGTGACTTTTCCAAGGACGTTTCTATGATGTATAAATAAACGCGATTTGTGTGCTTGATTGTATTATGATTGCTAGGTGTTTGTAGAATATACTTTCTACTCTATAGCAAGACTTTTTCGTTAGTTCCTTTTTGGGTCAACGGATCAGAGTAGCTTACCCGGACCCTGGTTCATTATCTCGTTCTCGTTTATCGACTAAGGTAAACACATAATAGCTTCATGCATATCAGGTGACCAGCCATAGCAAATACATACATATTATACATAAATTACATTGTATTGTTAAGTTTTTAGAAAAAACTTACAATAAATATTCAAATCCAAATAACCCATTGATGAAATCGTTAGTACATCATCATCAGTGCTTATTGAATTATTATGACTCATCTCATTGCCGATTTGATGAGTCCGATTTCTTAATGACGATGATGACTCATCCTCATCATCAGTGCTTATTGAATTATTATGACTCATCTCATTATCGATTTGATGAGTCGAATTTCTTAAGGACGATGATAATGGCAGTAAAATCGAATTGATTGTAGGTTTGCTGATTCTCATGGATATTTGACAATAAATTCTTGCATGATGATATGTTCGATTTGGTACAAATTTTATAATATGATCATTTGAATGATGATGTAACAGAAGAAATCTTGAAGATTGCATAACAGTTGGTGATGATGACGAATTATTGTTATTATGAGAATGATTGATGTTATGTTGAAGAGTTGTTGGTGTTGAATTTGTTTGAATAAAAAACCTGTAGTGTAAAAAACAAAACACACGCGCGCACATATACACAAAACCGATTGATAGATTTAAAACAAGCGCTCATTTTTTGAATGATAATAATAATAATCATGATAAATTATTGAACATTGAACCAGTTTATATGGAGAAATAATTTAAAATTTGTGTATTCCGTCTAATGAAATGATGAATGAATCATTGTTATACCATCAATAGAAACCTGAAAGTATTGCGCCACCGTTTCGTTTTGGTATGAGACTTGTGATTAGCTGTAGCGCATCTAGGACTTCTGCTGCTCGCAGGACAAAACAGACATCCAGTGCTTCCAGATTTCTAATGTGGTGTGGTCTAACAATGATTCAATCACGATTCTAATTTAAAACAACCATCTCCATAATTCTATAATGCGAGAATTCCATCTAGGGAGAAAATCAACTGACTAGTGCTTTTTCATTTCAAATAATAATCATTTTGTGATGTGAATGAGTTTCAGAAATCAATAATATTTAACAAATAAAAACTTTTTAAGTTAGATAATATTATTTTTAGTGTACATGTAATTAACTTTGTGTTCATCCAATATCCTAAGAGAATTATTGGTCAATTCCTATAGGTTAGCTCCTACTGGTCAATTTTACGGTCGTCCTAGATATCAGTGTCATGTACTGGAATGTTGTTCTTATTGGTAGTCCTGACTATCAATGTCATTTCAAATGTTGCTTCCTATTGGTAGTCTTAACTGACAATGTCACAGACTTCGATGTTGTTTCATATTCGACCGAAATGTATAAATATGCATTATCTGTAACGTTTAATGACCAGGACCAAGACCCGGTCCCGGATCCCTAGTCTAGGATCCTGATTCTCTTCTGGATTCGAACCTCGTACTTTCTGGATGCTTGTAGAATACATGTTCTACTTCATATCAAGTCTTCTTATTTTACTCAATATGGGGTTTGGGATAATTGGATTTGAAAAGCATGTCTTGTCGCTGAGTCCTCGATCCTCGTTTTCCGACTAGGTAAACTCGTTTAGTTCGAGCATATCAAGTTGATGTGTTTACGTGCAGACGTAATACTTTGTAATGATAATAGGAAATGTATGAGGCAAGAAGTTTTGACCAATGGAATTCAAACATCTTGACTTTGATAATTAAACATGCCATCTTATATTCCCATTATTTATGAAGGTATAAGGACCAATAAAATTAATATCAATCAACGTTATACTACTAATATTATGTTGTAATATAGTATTATGAAGATCGTTGTTTGACATTGAAATTATGAATAAATCATTGTTAGACCACCAGTAGAAGCCTGGAAGCACTGATGTTAGGATCGTCACTAGGTATGCTTGAAACTATTACGGGTTCACCTTAGTCAATAAACGAGAACGAGACAATGAATCAGCGTTCAGGTAGGCTACTCTGATCAGTTGACCCTAAACAGCAAACGAGAAGTCTTGATATAGTGTAGAAAGTGTATTATACAAACACACAGCAAGCACAATGAATTTAAGTGTACAAATCGCGTTTATTTATGCATCATATAGAAAAGTCCTTGGGAGAGTCACAGAAATGGAACACTAAAATAACAAAGTAACGAATCACATCCAAGGATTTTCTTGGTGAGAAATGCGATCTCAAGGTCTACTGATCAGCCCATGCTCGGAAACATAAAATTCAAAATTAAGGCATGTATCAAAGCAAGTTGTGGGGATTTCACGTCCCAAACAATTGGACGGCCATTTCGTCCCTGTATGGGACTCATTAGCAGCGCGTATCCACAACTTCCGCTACTAGCAGAATTCTAATCCAGAACCTCCAGCTTTTCAGGCGAACGCTTAACTTCTAGACCACTGAATCGGTATCCAACGATGGGAATATCTAACTCTGAACAATCTAAGGATTTTTGCGCAAATTCGCCAAACGCCTACACCCGATAGGGTTGGAATCTATTGGCCACGTCTTCTCACACTGCGTTCGCGAGCGTAAGACCGAAGGCCCCGGGTTCAAATCTTGCGAGAAGCAGGAGTCGTCAATATTCATACTGGAACGAAACGGCCGTTCACTGCTTCTAGATTTCTTATAGTGTCCTAACAATGATTCATTCGCAATTTCAATGTAAAACTTATTTTATCATCACTAACTGTTGGGGATGTTAGATCCTCAGAACTCACTTGATAAAGATCCTAATTTTGGATTTTCAATCAGTCAGTCAGTCAGTTCCAACGTAGAACTTCGTACGTAAGTACATCAGTTCATGTTGCCATACCACATCAGCACAGAGATGTAATTGTCAATTCAAATCCAATAGTAGAAGAGGTAGTAAAGGTATTAGAAGTAATCGGAGAGGTTAGGATGAGAAGATATTATTCACGGAGTATGATTCAATGAGAAAAGTTGAGAAAGTCAAAACTAGAGGTGTTGAAGAATCCAGAAGATTAGGATTTGAGAGAACACAAAGAATAACTGCACTGGCGCCATTGCGAACGGTTTTGAGCCATGTCATTCAAGGTCTCTAACCATCGATTATTATCATCTCGCGGACCCCAACCAGGTAGTCGACAACTACCGACATGGCTAAGTCCACTCGTCAATGACTTCATGGGTTTGTGCCATGTTTTGGTCTGGGCAACCCCTAGCTTTCTTCCAACCTACTCCTACACTACAAAACAAAGCTCGACGAGGAAGTCGGTGGTTAGGCATACGCAGCACATGTCCCAACCACGTCAACTGATGGAGTCTCACAACTTCACCTATTGATTTGCCATTCTTACCTAGTTACCCGTTTCCTAACAACAGCGTTGCTCACTCGGTTGTCCCACGATATACGAGCAATGCTTCGAAGACACCTATGATCGAGAACCAGTAACCTACTAATATCTTCTACTCTTACTGGCCATGTTTCACAGCCATAAAGTAAGACGGAGCGAACTACTGTGCAGTACACTCGTCCTTTGGTTAGCCAACGGATATCTCGCCTGTGCCATAAGTGACGCAGGTTGGCAAAAGTCAGTCGAGCCTTCTGTATCCGTGCTGAGGTTTCGTCAATCACCAGGCCATCGGCACTGATGAGACTCCCAAGATAAGTGAAGCGGTCTAAACGCTCGACTACTTCACTCCATATCATTAGTTCAGGTGCCGATAGAACCCAATTTTGAAGCAACATTTTGCATTTCGAGGGGGAAAACCGCATCCTGAACATGCTTGCATTGTTGCTTAGGGTAGTCAGAAGTCTCTGCATTTTGTCAGCATCTTCACCAAGTAGGACTATGTCATCGGCATATTCTAAGTCAATAAGCGAGCCACCTGGTAAAAGGTCTACTCCTGAAAATTCAGACGAGGATACGGTTACATCTAACAGCATGTCTATGATAAAATTAAACAAGAATGGAGAAAGTGGACATCCCCAACGGACACCAGTTGATGCAGAAAATTCAGATGACAGTTCCCCATAAGCTCTCACTCGACCAGTGGTGTTCGAGTAAAGGGCTTGTATGAGGTTAATGTACTTCTTTGGTACACCTTTCAATGACAGACACTGACACAGAACCTCACGATCCACTGACTCAAATGCCGATTTTAGGTCCAGGAACACAACTATTGTTGGCCGCCTATATGTGTGTCTGTGTTCCAGGAGCTGTCGTAGTGTGAAAATGTGGTCTATACAACCACGTCCAGGTCGAAAACCAGCCTGGCTTTCTCGAGTCTGCTCTTCACGAGCTCTAGTTAGACGTCTAAGTATAATGGAGGCTAACAATTTAGAAACTATATTTGTTAGACTTATTCCTCTGTGATTGTTACAAGAAGACTTCTGTCCTTTCTTATAGATTGGGACAATCAGTGATTGAGACCAGTCGAATGGGATTACGTCCAGTTCCCAGATTCTACCTAAGATCTCGGTCAACCTAGCTGCTAAAACTGGACCACCATCCTTAAATATCTCAGGGGTCAGTCTATCAGGACCCGCAGCTCTTCCTCGCTTCAGATTTTCTAACGCTTTTTCAACTACATTAAGACTAGGGGGACTTAGGTCGATTTGCCATTCAGGATGACTGCAGATCGTGGGTAACCGAAGAGTGGCTCGTGGCCTGTTGAACTGATCCCTTAAGTGTTCTGCCCATCGGTCCAGTCTCCTGGATTGAGAATAAATAATAGTCCCGTCATTTTCTGAGATAGTCTCACTTATACTAGGATTCCTAATACCAGTTTCCTTGATAAGTCAGAAAAGTTGTCTAGTGTTGCCGATCGCCGCTGCCTTTTCCATCGCTTTTGCTTTCGCCACCCACCACTGTTCGCGATCGTTACGTAGGCTTTTTATAAGTCTGCGCCTAAGCTGACTACGCTCTTCATCATGTTCAGAGCCAGGTGGGATGAGTTTTCGGGCATCCATCAGATCGGTGGATGCTACTGAGATCCACGGCTTCATTCTAGCCTTATGGTCAACCTTACTAGCAGATATCACTGCCGTTTCCACAGCCTTTTTGATATCATTCCAACCTGCTTCCGGATGGGAATCGCTTAAATGGTCGCCTAACTGTCTTTCTAGTTGTTCCTGAAATATATTTTTCGCCTTATTATCATTAAGTAAAACCCTAAGGGGCTTTCTTACGGCGTCTTTCCTACGCCCAGTAAGCGTCAAACAAATACGAGCTCGCACTAGGGCATGATCTGAATCCAAACATGTGCCCCAGAACGAGTGACAGTCTTCTATCGAACTCTCCATCGGTGGCTGATGGCGATGTGATCTAGTTGGGTCCAACGTTGAGACGACTTTGGAGGTTGCCAGGTCAACAGATGCTTTTCCTTATGCCTAAAGTTAGTGTTTGCTAAGAAAAGGCGGTTGTCTGAGCATGCTTGCAACAGACGGTCGCCATTGTCTGTTCTCTGAGCCGCGGTTCCATAACATCCACCCAAGTGTCTTTCATTTTCACTTAGTCTACCTACTTGAGCAATAAAGTCACCAGCCATTAATACTATATCAGAGCGCCTAGCTTTTTGGAGGAGGTCCGAAAGCTTTCTGTAAGACTCATCTTTAACCTCGTCTGAACTGCAGTCAGTGGGGGCATAGGCAGATACGATGAAGAGGCAACGGCGATTGTCCCTATCCTTCCGAGTCCTTACTGTCCCATTTAGTCGGACAGCGCACAAGCGACTATCCATTGGGATCCAGTCAAGGAGAGATTGTTCCGCTCTACGACTCAATGCTATGCCTACGCTAGCAAGACCCCTGGAAGCAGCATCAGGGCTACCGCATACACGAAGGGTAAATCGAGCTGCTTCTTTATTTTGACAAGGTGAAATCAGATTAATAATTTTACTGGGATCCTGTTTGCGCGTTTCCGAGACATAACTTACATCGATGGCACGAGATTCTAAAGTCCTAGCTAAGGAAGCCTGTTGCCCTATTTGACACAATGTCCGTACATTAAATGCTCCAACATGTAGTCTAGAGCGAGGTTTAAGGAGACCAGGAACGACGTTTCGTGAACTCGTGTCGTCTGCATTAGCTGTGCACTGTGATAATTGAATGTGAGAAGAGTAAGTCGTGGAGATAAGAGATGTACTAGGGGGTGTGGGAAGGATTTGATTTCTACCAATTTGGTCTCTCGTGCTATTACGGGTATGAGGGTGGTTGTCACTTCCCGGCTGCCAACACCGTGGAAGGTTGTTTCTTGAGGGACCTGAAAAGGAAGATAGATTAGTGTTGGTTTTGGAGACCTAGGTGCGTGACCACAGAGTCCAAGGGACAACTGCTTGAGGCCGGTCACGCACGGCCTTTTTATGAAAGGTATTTAGAGGATTAGCTCCATTCTTAAAGGCCCTTAGTGGGCACCCTTACTGACGGAGACGGAAATCCGTGAGTTAGGGGAGGTGTGACATTTTTAGGTTCGACCTTTTCTAACCCTTCCTTCCTTGTGAGATGGCTGCATCGCTGCAGATGCTGGTTGTCCGAGGGAAACACCTTACTGCTGTCACACCCCTCTGCAGTCAGCAGTACGACTTCGCCCTCAGACGTTGGGTAGCTGCTTTTAGTCTCATCGTTTTCCAATCGACCTGCCTGGCATGGTAGGACCTGCAGGAACATATTTTCCAGCTAGTATAGCTCGGTTGGGTCATCATGATAGGCAGTCCCGACCACCACGTCAAGTTAGCAGCTACGGTCGGGAATTTAGATTTTATTCATGGGCTGATCAGTTGACCTTGAGATCACATTTCTCACCAGGAGAATCCTTGGCTGCAATTGATTACTGTGTTATTTTAGTGTGCTATTTTCTGCAACTCTACCAAGGATCTCTCTATGAACGCGATTTCTGTGCTTGGATACATTGTGTGCTTGCTGGGTGTTTGTAAAATACACTTCCTACTCTATATCAAGAATTCTTGCTAGTACATTTGGGTCAAGGGATTATAGTAGCCTAGTTGGACGCTGGTTCATTGTTCTGTTCTCGTTATTCAACTAAGCTGAACTCGTAATAGTTTTAAGCATACCTAGAGACGAGTGTAACACTGACATGGTAGATACTACGCACAATGTGGCTTATATGTATTATACAGTAGATATATACAACAGTGTCAAGCTGAATTTACTTCTCTGCAAGTGAAGAGTTTTCAATCTGAATGTATAGTGAAATAATAGAGAGTTTTGAAGACAAGAATAATGAAAGAATATTTAGCCATAAAGTGTATACATTTCCGATGCTTCATATACATTACTTACTCTATCTAAATCTTACTACTTTAATTCATTAAATCAGTAATATGAAAATATATACTGAAAATTTTCAATACTCACGTATATTCATAACGTGTATTATTGATTGGAGCATAAGATTTTTTATAAAAACAACCAACTTGAACTGGTTGATTTTCAATTAATCTAATGTGTTGTTCAATTGATGAAGTGAATAGTTGATTGTTTGAATAAATTTGAATGTACACATTGTCAATATCTAAAAATAATTACAGAATATTGATAATTGAACAGAATCGAAATGGTTATTATTTTACACAATTAATTGTAAGAATCTGGTCATATTTTGAGATCATGAATCAGACACATTGTTAGACTATCATTAGAAATTAATCTAGAAGTATTGGATGGCTGTTTCGTCCCCAGTACATGATTCATCAGTGTTGAAGACGTTGGATCCGCAAAACTCACTTAGGAAAAGTACTCATGTTTGGAATTTTGTTTTACGTTTTCGCGCGTAAGTCGCTTAGTTGACCTATAGATTACCTTTTTCCATTAGGAAATCCCAACCATATCTGCTACCTTCACGTGGTGGTCGGGCTTGCATATCGTGATTACCCAACCGAGCTATACTGGCTGGAACATATGTTCCTGAAGGTCCTACCATGCCAGGCAGGTCGATTGGAGAACGATCAGACTAAAAGCAGCTACCCAACGTCTGAGGGCGAAGTCGTACTGCTGACTGCAGAGGGGTGCGACAGCAGTAAGGTGTTTCCCTCGGACAACCAGCATCTGCAGCGATGCTGCCTTCTCATAAGGAAGGAAGAGTTAGAAAAGGTCGACCCTAAAAATGTCACACCTCACCCTACCTCACGGATTTCCGTCTCCGTCGGTAAAGGTGTCCACTAAGGGCCTTTAAGAGCGGAGCTAATCCTCAAAAATCCTTTCGTAAAAAGGCCGTGCGTGACCGGCCTCAAGCAGTTATCCCTTGGGCTCTGTGGTCACGCAACCAGGTCTCCGAGACCAACACTAATCTATCTTCCTTTTCAGGTTCCTCAAGAAACAACCTTCCACGGTGTGGGCAGCCGAGAAGTAACAACCGCCCTCATACCCGTAACAGCACGAGAGACCAAATTGGTCGAAATCAAATCCTTCCTACACCCACACATACCTCTCTTCTCTCCACAACTAACTCGAATCACATTCCCTTATCTGACTGCACCCCTAATGCAAACGATGCGAGTTCACGAAACGTCATTGCCGGTCTCTTGAAACCTCGTTCTAGACTACGTAAGTACATCAGTTCATGTTGCCATATCAGTTCATGATATGGCAACATGAACTGATGTACTTAGGTACGAAGTTCTACGTTGCATCTGACTGACTGACTGACTGACTGTCATTTGTTGATGGAATTTTAGTTCGCTAGTTTGTGGCTCTCCCAATGATGTTGCTATCATTGTTTAAATAAACTCGATTTGTGTTCTTGTGCACGTCGATTTTCTGAGTGCTTGTAGAATACACCCCCTACACCATATCAAGAATACTTGCTTTTGTTAGAAGGACTGGGAAAATGGATTAGAATAGCCTATTGTGTCGATGAATCATTTGTCTTCTCTCCGATTACCGCTTATAGTGAACTCGCGATAGTTTCAAGAATATCAAATGACAAGTATATCAATGAGTAGCGCGCATCCATGAGCCTCGCTCTCTCTTATGTTATTAACTAGCTATGTCTTATGTGTAGGTTCACGAACGATTGTGAATAGCAATTAAACACTGTTAACAAAATTTTTAAAGCGAAATTGGAGCTTCTTCATGATTTTACATAAATTCTACAGTGAAGTCTTTACTAAATTTAACTGGTGACAGATACGATTCACGATTTATGTCGGATTCAACCATTCCACGACCCTCTTGGGATAATGATCATTTATTCACTAATGACTTGCTTTTTGGAAAAGATTCTAAGAGTTTTAGTGAGAAACCATGACTAGTGGAGTCCAACCGTGTCGAGTGTGAGACTGTTATCTACCAAACAAAATGGATAAAGTCACGCAGTACTTTGGATTTACTGGAGTTGGACATTCAGTGGTTTAGAGATTAGGCGTTCACGTGTGGGACCGGACGTTCTGAGTTCGATCCCTGCATGCCAGGATCATGAATGTACACTGCTGCTTAACCTCATACTAGAACGAAACAACCAACCAGTGCTTCCAGGTTTCTTGATAACGATGATCTGACATTGATTCATTCATGATTTCAATCGAAATCGTTGATGAATTCGGACATTCACAGTTTGATTCCTATTAAACTATGCACTCGAACATGTAATATTCACCAGCTAATAAAAACAAAATAATGACGAAACATGTTGAATTCAAAGCTGTGATTGAACATTGAAAGCAAGCAGTTAAGATAAACAAAACTGAAAACAACCATATCCTTTGAACTACTTACACAAAAGATTAATATTGATTATTCTAGATCTAAGAGAATAGTTTTCAAATTCATTCAATTGTGGATTCTTTTCAAAATCAAATGTTCTGTTGTGTTGATGAATATTGATATTCGGAAAACTGTTATTACTATTATTATCATGATCGTTATTGCTATTACTGATTATGTAATCATTTTGATTTTCCAATGAACACATAATTGGAATTTGATTTATCTTGGCTCCATAAAAAGTTAGACTTAATATAGACCAAGTTTTGAATCTGATCAAAATTAACAATTGAAATTAAAAATATACATAAATTTAGATAAACACTAGATTTTTACAAGTTTAAAATAAATACTACTTATCTTACAAAAGTAGTTTAGTAAAAAAGACGTTAATAAATGATTGTTCTAATTTTATTGTAAAAATCTGTTTCTCAGTACAAAGACATGTCATCAAAACCCTGAACCAGAACGGAGCAAGGTGTGTATAGTACTTGCTACCAAGTACACATTTAACATATTACCAGGATTGAATAACTTTACTTTTATGGAATGACAACTAGTATCCAGAATGACAGCGGAAGCTTCACGATTGAACGATTTAATTCAAGAGAAGATAATCATCTGGAAATGTGCTCATAATGACAGTTTCAATCGATTCGATAACAATAACACAACAGTCATCCTGTGTCATCCGTGATGTAATTTTATTATACACCCTTTAGGTTCCTTGAAATGGGATTAAGTTTAGTCTTCGATGTAAGCTCTTTATTACTCAAGAATCGCAGACACATTGTTAGTATATTCATCCAATATCCTAAGAGAATTATTGACCGATTCCTATTAGTTAATTCCTACTGGTCAATTTTATGGTCGTCCTAGATATCAATGTCACGTGATCCAATGTTGTTTCTTATTGGTTGTCCTGACTATCAATGTCATAGACTTCGATGCTTTTTCATATTCGACCAAAACTTATAATTACGCATTATCTGTAATGATTTATGCCCAGGACCAGCACCCGATCCCGGACCCTTAGTCCGGGATCCTGATCCTCTTCTGAATCCGGACCTCGTACTTTCTGGATGCTTGTAGAATACAGGTTCTACTTCATATCACGTCTTCTTATTTCTACTAAATATGGGGGTTGGAATAATCGGATTTGAGTAGCAGGTCGTGTCACTGGATCCTCGGTCCTCGCTCTCGTTTTCCGACTATGTAAACTCGTAATAGTTCAAGCATATCAGGCGTGCAGGCGTAACACACATTCATCTCGAATTCCAGATTTATCCAACTGACATTTACTATCAATGAAAATAGTAGTTGATCTACAGAAAGTGTTTCATTATGAATATGGTACTCAAATTGAATTATATACAATATTCTACTTGGTGTTCGTAAGTCGCAAATGAGTGTTTCAACGCGAAACAATCAATCACGCCAACTCTTCCCTAATCTTTATAAAATTAGATTCATGATTTTTTAACATATTTTTATTAAACTACTAATAAGTAGAATAAATATTTTCTTAATGTTTATCGCCTTGCTATGACATGAAAGTTTTCTCATCAAGAACACTTGATAAACTTTCTAAGTAGTGTGTATTGCACGACAATTTACCAAATGCAATGACTCATCATGTCTACTACGCCACTAATATTTAACTTAATGACTCAATATTCACTGAATTATTGACGAACTGTAAACATTCGTATTTAAAATGGAAAACCCCGAACAGAGTTCATTGAAAAATCGTAGTTGGTGGTCTCTGTTTCATGAAGATTAACAAGCGTGAGTAACTGAGGATATGAAACCTTTCAATAATTAAGTTGTACAAAGATTTGATTGTGAGCATGTCGATCTAGTGTGCTGTTACAGGTATACTGGCGAATGTCACACCCGGCTGTCTACCACGTATAAATGTATTTCTTGAGAAACCTGGAAAAGAAGTTGAGTTGGCGTCGATCTTAGTAACCTTAGAGAGTGACCACAGATCCCGAAGGACAACTGCATGATGCCGGTCACGCACACACAGATTATGGGAATTTCTCAACGTGTTAGCTCCGCTTTTCGAAGGGCCTTACCACCAGAGACGGAAATCAGTTATGTAAGGTGAAGTATGACATCTTTGGGTTGGAGCTTTTCTAATACCTACCTTCCTTGTGAAAAGACAATATCGCTGCAGATGCTGGTTGTCCGAGAGCAACATCTTACTGCTGTCACATCCCTCTACAGTCAACAACATGACTTCACCCTCAAAAAACCTTAATTTACTTCTTTTAGTATTAATGTTCGCCGACAGAACCTGCCTGGCATGCTAGGAGCTAAAGGAACATATTTTCAAGCTGATAATGCACGGTCCGGTCATCAAGATTAGCAAGCTCGACCACCAGGTCAAGGTAACATCTAAGTTCACGAATAAGTTTCCGACCTTGAACTTTTTTATTCAACCAAACAATACTTACATTCTTTAATCGATAGAATTTCAAACAATAACCATGTATTTAACAACAACTCTTATAACTATTTCATCATAAAAACAACAATACTACTTACAATTGTAAACCAGTAGGCATATCAGTAATTTGAATAAATTCATTCAATTGTCCAATACAAGAAAAATGTTCAATGAACATGAAATTTTGTGTTTTATTCATAATATGACATTTCGAATGTGGTGAATTACAAAATTTCTCATTTAACCAACTTAATAATTCTGTTCGTTTTAACAGCAACTCGTTAACATATTGATATGATGATGAGTTGAGTTGATCAACAATATTCAATGTTTTCTCCATTTTCACTCGATGCAAAGTTTCATTATTCATTGACCATAATAAGTGACCTAATGGTTTACTCCATGATGATGTACTACAAATGAATTGAATTGTTTGATTGAAATGAATCCAAATTGATTGATTTTTGAACGGATCCGTATGAATGATCGGTTGTATTGATGATGATGAGGATGATGAATGGTTGAGTTTGTTGACATGATGATTGTATAAATATTGAAATTTTGAGTTTTCATATAATAATATATTTAAATGAATTGATTTCGGCGGAACTTTGGGAAAAAAATAAGAGAAAGATGGAGGAGAATGCAAAAAATGAAGTTGGTTGAAAGGTTTTTGAATGTGTACTGAAGGAGAACACAGGTGAGGCAACCGAATTGTATTTAACGAAAATTACAGAGTTACTCAGTAAAATTGGAAAACCATATCGTAAATCGTTACTTTGCAAAATATCAGTTCATCATCATATCGAACTGGACTGTTCCTGTTGCAAAACATCAACAATCCATTGTCACTTACTATTCATGCGTTTCATACAAATTCCATTGTTTTGTAACTCTTCCTTTTTTGATCTTCCCCCATCTTCTGCTACCGGACATTAGGTTGACACTCACTTCATATACTACTTATAAGTAGCTCACACCACAAATGGAACGTTTTGAAATCATAGATCTATCAGTGTTAGACCATCATTTGAAACGTGGAAGCACTGGACGTCCGTTTAGTTTTGGTATGGAACTTATCAACAATGCGCATCCATGAGTCCTGCACCTCGCACCTCCAGTGCTTCCAAGTTTCGAATGGTGGTCTAATAATGATCAGTTCATGATTTCAAAACATAACTCAACCATCTTCACAACCCGACTATGCACATTTAGCTCCTAACTAGCTGCTCAGTTCATTCTGTTTTTTTCGTCTGAACAATCGATCATCCTAACAACACAACACAATAAGCGCTACTTTAAGCGGAACGTGTATCTGTCTGCTAATCAGGAGGACCAGTTTATTGAGCAGCAGTTTGCTCTGTTCTACTTCATACATGTGGAAATGAATATAAAGTAATCGAGGATATTCACACGTTACTAGTCTTCGATTATCGGTGTCTTAGAAGCATTACTCATATATTCTGAGACCAGCGAGTAGACAGTTCCCTGGTTAAGGAAAGGGTACTAGATAAGGACGGCAAATCAGCTGGTGAAGCAGTGAATATTCATCAGCTGAGGTGGTTGGGATATGTGTTACGTGTGGCCGAGGATCGCCTAACCCGATGGGTGATGTTGTATGATATAGGGGTGGGTTGAAAAAAACTAGGTGTGGCCAAACCAAACTATGGTACCAGGCCATCAAGTCACTGAACTGATCCATCTTAGTAAGTGTAGACTACCTGGTTGGGGTACGCGAGGCAATATTAACCGATGGTTGGAGACTTTGAATGAAACTGCTTGAAATCGTTTACAATCGTGCAGATGCATCCATTCTTTATCTTCTTTCAAATTCGGTTCATCTGAATTCTTCTTGGCCGATTTCTAACTAATCTTAACGATCACCGAAAATACTTCTACGACCTCTACCACTTTGGGAGGTAGTTAGTTTGTACACAAGATGTTGAACATTTGAAGCGAGAGAAATAGAGTTCAAAATTAAATTTGAATATGGACACGAATCCATGTACATCAGCTTGATTAGAACAAGACGGAACAAAAGTTTAGGGTTCCGCTTCCGATTTCTTTCTTTAACGTATGATTATCTTAGGTTGTAATTTGCATTATAAGGTTGTAAGAGTCGTTGAGTTTGATTTAAATAATCAATCAATCACTGTTAGATTATCATTCGAAACCTGAAAGCACCAGCCAGCTGCTTCGTCCCAATATGGGACTCTTCACTGGTGCGCATCCATAATACTTGAACGCAGGAATTGAACTAAGAACCTTCGGTCTCAGATTAGAATGCTTAACCTTTAGACTACTGAGCCAGCGTCTAACAGCTTCTCAGTAAAACTCAGAGAATTTTCTCACAAAGCTATTCACTAATGATTCATGACCAGTGAACCACAGTTATGTCGAGTATGAGATAGTTTACAAGCGAACACAATAGATGAGGTCGCACAAAATCGTGGCTTAATTGAAGTTAGACATTAACACCATTGGATGCAGGCTCAGTCGTCCAGAGCTTGAACGATCTCACGCGAGACATAAGGTCCTGACTTGTATAATTTTTGCGAGTGGTGGTCGTCGTGAATACACACTGCTGATAAATCTTATATTAGAACGAAACAGTCATCCAATGCTTCAGAAGTTTCTAATGGTGATCTGACAATGATTAATTCATGATTTCAACAAAACAGTTTTAGTCAAATTGACCAAATTGAAAACCAATTTTTTTCTCAATGTGCCTTCAGGATATTTTCATATTCCATTTTGTTTAAAAATGTATGAAAAATTCAATTACATACATTTTTTAATCAGCAGAGTTCATGACATTTCTCAAATTTTTAGAGGAAAAGAGAGTATGAAGATGAGTATTCAATTTGACTAAACTTGTAATGCAAGTTTATTACATTTGACTTTCTTTTTAAGGGATAGACTTGATATATAAAACTCTTTAGAGATTTTGATACATTTTAGAGAACAGATAATAATAATAACATTATCTAATAGATTTGAACCAGGTCGTCTTAATCTCACATCATATTGTACATGTGTGTGTTTGTGTGCATCAGAACAACTATCCAAGTTCCTGTGTGTATGCTGATGTGTGTGTGAATGAGTGAGAGCGGGTCGGTTGACTAATCGACTGAATTTCATTCTAGAAATTGAAAATATTGAATTTTGAACGAAGAACAAACATTAATTTGTTCATTTTCAATGTACAACCCTGAGATGCCTTCTAATTCTTGCTAATGTAAATGACATTCATTGACTCTAATTGACTGACTAATAATTCCTATTTGACCTAGTTTTTTTATACTCATGAGAATAACAACATTATTAAATACTGCTGTAGAGAATATGTTTTTTGTTTACTTAGTGTGAATAACAAACACCTTAGTTATCATTTTAACGACTTAGTCGATTTGAATATTGTTAGTTAACTGACAACTCCGCCAGTCGAAGCTTCGGGGCTATTGCTGGTCCCATACCCGAATAAAAGAGGAGGGTTGGGCATGGGGTTGGCGACTTAGACAATTTGAATGTTGTAGCTGAACTGACTGATCTCTTCATAAGGACACCTAAACACATAAATAACTGAACTGCTTATCCATCCGTACAGAATGTGACACTGAACAAAATCCTGTACTGTTTGTCAACGAAATTTGAATAACAATGAGTCGTTTAGCGTAGCTAATCAATGTGCAGATATTCAATCACCACTTTCAATCTTTATGTCTACGGTTAGTATTTTACACTAATTAATCATGATCGAAAACCAGTTGTCTACGTCTGATGAATAAATAAACTGTAAAGTAAATCTGTTTGTTTCTAGTTTTTCATAAGCTGGGTGTCATCCGATTCGATTATTATTGTCAAAGAAATTTCTTATACACATAGTGTACCTATGCTCCTTGAATTGAAGTTGATTGGTTGAACAGCTGATGACATATGGCCAGAGGATCCGAAGTACCTTGTGTAGAAATCTATTAATGGACACTTGTATCTTTTGAATGATTGCTTTCATGGTTATCCAAGTCAGTGTAATTACACAGCACCCAATCACCGACACGGATAGCACAAAACACATGAATGTAGGGATAAACCGGCACCTCTAAGGGTCTATGGCCCCGAAAGATTAACTGACTTAGACAATAGTGCGAATGCTTCTCCTTCAGTTCGACCAAATACACTTAGCTAAAAATCTTAAATACCCATCTCCAAATATCAGCAAATAGTGTACAACTCCCTCGGGTAGGTTCCGAAGACGACAGCCTTTAAGGATCTCTGGGATGACTGAGCATCTGTGCAGCGCCACTAGATAGCGTAAGGATGGAAAATTCTCAAACCTGGGTATATATATAACAAATTGGCTTCGACGTTAGCACTGAAAATTTATTTTTCATGTTGGTTGACAGAGAGCTGTTTTAAATTCCAGAAATTCTCCAACTGTAAGAATGATGTCCTTCCCTTGTTAATCAATATCTTTATATCTACATCACATTCGCCTTCTTTATCATTGTTCATACCCAAGTATGTAACATTTTCTACATTCCCCAAAGCTCCTCCATCAAGTGTGATTTGGATGATAGTGCATGATGTGTTCTATCGTAGGTTCATGCTTTTTCCCTTGAGTATGTTGAGGCCAATTGCTTCAGGGGCTACTCTCACACTATCTGTTTTCTACTGCATTTGTGGTTGTGTATGGCATGGGAGCGCTCCAGCTGCATCCAAGCTGTCCACTGTATTCCGTGCTTCCGATTGAGTTTTGCAGATCTTTATAGTCCAGTCAACCTACAGAATCAACGAGATCAAGAAGTAGTCTTGTCTGCATGCAAAGCTTACATACTGCGTAATAATTGTGGAATTAAATCACCGTAGAAATTAACTTTTCATAGGTGATTAACAATGATAGTGTAGTGAACGAGAGCACAGGTGGGGCTGTGGTGTGAGCTACTTATAAGTAGTATATGACGTGAGTGTCAACGTAATGTCTGGTGGCAGCAGAAGATGGGGGATAATCAAGAAAGGAAGAGTTAGAAAACAGTGGAATTTGTATGAAACGCATGAATAGTGACAATGCATTGATGTTTTGCAACAGGAACAGTCCAGTTCGATATGATGAACTGATATTTTGCAAATTAACGATTTACGATATGGTTTTCCAATTTTACTGAGTAACTCCGGTTGCCCCACCTGTGTTCTCGTTCACTACAGGGCGACCGGATTGTATTTAACGAAAATTACAGAGTTACTCAGTAAAATCGGAAGACTATATGGTAAATCGTTAATTTGCAAAATATCAGTTCATCATATCGAACTGGACTGTTCTTGTTGCAAAACATCAATCCATTGTCACTATTTATGCGTTTTATACAAATTCCATTATTTCCTAACTCTTCCTTTCTTGATCTTCCCCCATCTTCTGCTGCCACCAGACATTACGTTTTCACTGACGTCATATACTACTTATAAGTAGCTCGCACCACAATACATCTAGGATAGTGATTTATCATTGTGAGAAATATTTTAAAGAAAGATAGTTAAAACAGTTTTAAACGTCTCATCAGTTTCCGTATATAATACTTAGGAGAGCCCCGTTTGTGCGACGACGGCCAAATACTAATGAGGTTATTTTAGGCAGCTGTTAGTGAAGACAGACATGATAATGTTAAAGCACACAAACAAAGTGAAGCAGAGAAGGCGAATGATTCATCTTTCAAAGAATCATGACTAAGCATTTATAGTGATGTGGTGTGTGCTACTTATACGAACGATATAAGTAGTATAAGAAGGGACGTGAAAGAAGAAGTCTCACGGTCACAAGAGGAAAACAGAAAGCAAATGGAGCAAAAACAAGAAGTAAATGGAGTACCAACAGGAAGTAAAGGAAGCAACATCAGGGATGAAAGAAGGCTGGAGCGTTGGAAGTCAGGACTCAAAGATGGTGTGCAAATAGAGTGTTCAATGTAATGTTTTCGTTTTCAATTGCCTCAGTCTTCTCAATTGGTGTCGCTGCCTCTACACAGGATGAAGATACCATGGCCTCGGGGGTTTGAAGACGGAGATGTAAGGAGCTTCCTGAAGGAGTTCGAGGCCATGGCGGAGCTGGTCGGAGTCAAGGAGCAGAGGTCGAAGGCGGTGATGCTGGGGACTCTACTAGGAGGCAGGGCGAGAGCGGTGTACGATGGTGTGGAGGACGCTGACTGAGAAGTGGTGACGGAAAGGCTGCTGGTTGAGTTCGACAGCCCAGCTGATAGGCAGGACGAGCTGCAAAAGTTCCGAGAGGCGAGACTGACGGTGCATGGCGACCCACTCGTGCTGGCCATGGAGTTGACAAGATTGCTGCGCCGGGGTCTGCCGAATTTGGATGAGGAGTCGCAAGCACAGGTGCTAGCGTCGCAATTCATTGAAAGTGTGCCTTCAGAGGTTGCCCAACAGTTGAGACTGGTGAACGTGGCACAACCAGTGAACGTCACCGAGCTGGCTAAAGTAACAAGACAACTGATGAACACTCTATTTGCACACCATCTTTGAGTCCTGACTTCCAACGCTCCAGCCTTCTTTCATTCCTTCTGTTACTTGCTTTACTTCCTGTTGGTACTCCATTTACTTCTTGCTTTTGCTCCATTTGCTTTCCATTTTCCTCTTGTGACCGTGAGACTTCTTCTTTCACATCCCTTCTTATACTACTTATATAGTTCGTATAAGTAGCACACACCACAGTGAGACAAAGTAAGCCAGACATGTAATAAATGACCGTAGGCATGGCCAAACACAAATAAAAGCAACCAAGATATATGAGCCAATGACTGACAAGGTCAAAAGACGAGTGAATAATGCCTTAAAACTTACCAATCACATTTAAATATGCTGTATTACTTTTAATTAAACTCATTGGTAAATTGAATGAATCATGTTGAAAAATGAATGAATTGATTGAATTTTGATTAGAAAATTTTGTTTTATTGAAAAATTGATGAAAATATAATGGCGATTTTTGATTGGATTGAATGTTTTCAATTAATCTAGCTTGACAAGCATATTCACCTTCATCTTCAAATTGAACGCCGGTAATTAGTAAATCATAGATATCTAGAATTTTCGGGAAAAAAAATATATATGATGAGAATACGGATTACATGTGAAATACGTTTGAAAAATAAAGTTGAAATTCCTTTTGTTATTGAGAATAAGTGAAGAAATGATGTGTTTAGAGTTTATGATTTTCATGCCCGCCTCCGATTCGCGACGTAATGTTTTTTCTCTGGTCTCCCTCTTCTGTTTTTCGCCATGAGGATTACAAGTGAGAAGTTGTCTTGTGACGCAGTTCGGTGTCTTCCTCGATGTGTGTCCTTATACACTTCCAGCGCTTCTTCCTGATTTCTTGCTGAGATGGAATCTGGTTTGTTCTCTCCCAGAGTAGGTTGTCGCTAATAGTGTCTGGCCAACGGATCCTCAGTATGTTGTGTAGACATCAGTTAATAAACACCTGTATCTTGTGGATGATGGTTTTCGGGGTTCGCCACTTTTCCACTCCTTATGTCCGTATCGAAAAATTCTGATTTCGTATTGGTTGATAGTTGTTATGAGTTCCTGATATTCTTCCACTGAAGCAGTTTTGCCCTTCCTTTGCTAAGCTGCGCCTTCACATCTGCATCTGTATAGTTTTCCACATCCTCCAAAGTTTCTCCCTCAAGTGTGATTCGTTTGGTGCATGTTCTGTTGTTGTATTGAAGGATCTTTCTTCTTCCTTTGTGAATACTGAGACTTACTGCCGATTACGTAATAAACTCACCAAAAATATAAGGTCATCAAGGTGAAACACGAATGATAACTGCTTCTTTCTTGGATCGATATAGACTCTGTTGAAGTCTTTTTATCACAAGAGCTTCAACAATGCATAAAAATTTTGAATTCTGTTGTTTACTGATCATTTTTAAAAATTTTGAGACTTCACTCTATCATGACCATTGCTGAGCAGATGCTGAGCAACTGCGCTGCTGAAAACCTTTTATCCCGTTTAGTTTTGTGTTCGGAGATACAGAAAAAACACCTCTTTTCTGTTCTGCTTTGATATGTACATACAGACTGGTAAATACATTTGTGGATAACACAAAGCATGTATTCGTTTACACTTAATTGTCTCAACCAGTATTAAGTATGTTATTACTTACCTGCTTAATATTACCTGTTACCCACAATGGAGCAAAGGATGCTGACCAGCATTCGACAACTTACTCTATCCTCAGCCTTCCTTTCTAGTTAGTTCTGTCCAATTTTTGTTCATTCTTCTCATGCCTGTTGTCTTGATTTCTTGGCCCGACCGAAGCTGCTACCTTGACGTGGTGGTCGGGCTTGCCTATCGTGATGACCCAACCGAGCTATACTGGCTGGAACATATGTTCCTGCAGGTCCTACCATGCCAGGCAGGTCGATTGGAAAACGATGAGACTAAAAGCAGCTACCCAACGTCTGAGGGCGAAGTCGTACTGCTGACTGCAGAGGGGTGTGACAGCAGTAAGGTGTTTCCCTCGGACAACCAGCATCTGCAGCGATGCTGCCTTCTCACAAGGAAGGAAGGGTTAGAAAAGGTCGGCCCTAAAAATGTCACACCTCCCCTACCTCACGGATTTCCGTCTCCTTGGGTAAGGGTGCCCACTAAGGGCCTTTAAGAACGGAGCTAATCCTCTAAATACCTCTCATAAAAAGGCCGTGCGTGACCGGCCTGAAGCAGTTGTCCCTTGGACTCTGCGGTCACGCACCAACACTAATCCATCTTCCTTTTCAGGTTCGTCAAGAAACAACCTTCCACGGTGTGGGCAGCCGGGAAGTGATAACCGCCCTCATACCCGCAACAGCACACGAGACGAAATTGTTCAAAATCAAATCCTTCCTACATTCCCTAATACCTCTCTTATCTCCACAACTAACTCTTCTCACATTCATTTATTACAGTGCACAGCTAATGCAAACGATGCGAGTTTGCGAAACGTCGTTCCTGGTCTCCTTAAACCCCGTTCCAAACTACATGTTGGAGCATTCAATGTACGGACATTGTGTCAAATAGGGCAACAGGCGTCATTAGCTAGGACTTTAGAATCTCGTTCCATCGATGTGTGCTGCGTCTCGCAAACGCGCATACAGGATCCGAGTAGCATCACTCATTTGACCTCACCATGTCAAGATAAAGAAGCAGCTCGATTTACCCTTCGTGTATCCGGTAGCCCTGATGCTGCTTCTAGGGGCCTCGCCGGTGTATGTATAGCATTGAGTCGTAGGGCAGAACAATCTCTCCTTGACTGGATCCCTGTAGATAGTCGCTTGTGCGCCGTCCGACTGAACGGGACAGTAAGGACTCGGAAAGATAGGGACAATCGCCGTTGCCTCTTCGTCATATCAGCCTACGCCCCCACTGACTGCAGCCCAGATGATGTAAAAGATGAGTTTTACACAAAGCTTTCGGACCTCCTCCAAAAAGTTAAGCGCTCTGATATAGTTATAATGGCTGGTGACTTCAATGCTCAAGTAGGTAGACTAAGTGAAAATGAAAGACACCTAGGTGGATGTTACGGTCTCGCGGCTCAAAGAACAGACAATGGTGACCGTCTGTTGCAACTGTGCTCAGATAACCGCCTATTTCTAGCAAACACTAATTTTAAGCATAAGGAAAAGCATCTCTTGACCTGGCGACCCCCGAAGTCGTCTCAACGTTGGACACAACTAGATCATATCGCCATCAGCCACCGATGGAGGGGTTCGATAGAGGACTGTCGCTCGTTCTGGGGCACATGTTTAGATTCAGATCATGCCCTAGTGCGAGCACGTATTTGTTTGAGGCTTGCTGGACGTAGGAAAGACACCGTAAGGAAGCCTCTTAGGGCTTTACTTGATGATAATCAAGCTAAGAAAATATTTCAGGAGGAACTAGAAAAACAGTTGGGCGGCCATGCAAGTGATTCCCATCCAGAAGCAGGTTGGAATCATATCAAGAAGGCTGTGGAAATAGCAGTGATATCTGCTAGCAAGGTAAACCATAAGGCTACGATGAAGCCGTGGATTTCAGTCGCATCCACCGAACTGATGGATGCACGAAAACGCATCCCACCTGACTCTGAACATGATGAAGAGCGTACTCAACTTAGGCGCAGACTTATAAAAAGCCTACGTAACGACCGTGAACAGTGGTGGGTGGCGAAAGCAAAAGCGATGGAAAAGGCAGCGGCGATAGGCAACACTAGACAACTTTTCCGCCTTATCAAAGAAACCGGTATTAGGAACCCGAATGTAAGTGAGACTATCTCGGAAAAGGATGGTCTTATTATCCATTCTCAATCTAGGAGGCTGGACAGATGGGCAGAACACTTTGGGGGTCAGTTCAACTGGCCTTCAGCCACTCTTCGGTTGCCCACGATCTCCAGTCATCCTGAATGGCAAATCGATTTAAGTCCTCCCAGTTTACATGAAGTTGAGAAAGCTATAGGAAATCTAAGGAGAGGTAGAGCGGCAGGTCCCGATAGGCTTACCCCTGAGATGTTTAAGGATGGTGGTCCAGTTTTAACGGTTAAACTGACCGAGATCCTAGGTAGAATCTGGGAAATGGACGTAATCCCATCCGACTGGTCTCAGTCGCTAATTGTCCCAATCTACAAGAAAGGACAGAAGTCCTCTTGTGACAATCACATGGGAATAAGTTTAACTAATATAGTTTCTAAATTGTTAGCCTCGATTATACTTAGACGTCTAACTAGAGCTCGCGAAGAGCAGACTCGAGAAAACCAGGCTGGTTTTCGACCTGGACGTGGTTGTATAGACCACATCTTCACACTACGACAGGTCCTGGAACACAGACACACATTTAGACGTCCGACAATAGTCGTGTTCCTGGACCTTAAGGCGGCATTCGATTCAGTGGATCGTGAGGTTCTGTGGCAGTGTCTGTCATTGAAAGGTGTACCAAAGAAGTACATTAACCTTATACAAGCACTCTACTCGAACACCACTGGTCGGGTGAGAGCATATGGCGAACTGTCATCTGAATTCTCTACATCAAGTGGTGTCCGTCAAGGCTGTCCACTCTCTCCATTCTTGTTCAACTTTGTCGTAGACATCCTCTTAGAGTTAACATTAAGCTCGTCAGATTTTTCAGGGGTTGACCTTCTACCAGGAAAGTCGCTTACTGATCTAGAATATGCCGATGACATAGTTCTATTCGGTGAAGACGCTGACAAAATGCAGAGTCTTCTGACTACCATAAGCAACAATGCGAGCATGTTCGGGATGCGGTTTTCCCCCTCGAAATGCAAAATGTTGCTTCAAGACTGGGTTGCTTCGGCACCTGAACTAGTGATAGGGAGTGAAGTAGTCGAGAGTGTAGATCACTTCACTTATCTGGGGAGTCTCATCAGTGCTGACGGTCTGGTGACTGACGAAATCTCAGCTCGGATACAGAAAGCTCGATTGGCTTTTGCGAACCTGCGTCACTTATGGCGTAGGCGTGATATCCGTTCGCTAACCAAAGGGCGGGTGTACTGCGCAGCAGTTCGTTCCGTTCTCTTATATGGCTGTGAAACATGGCCGTTAAGAGTAGAAGATGTTCGTAGGTTACTAGTATTCGATCATAGATGTTTAAGAAGCATTGCTCGTATATCGTGGGACAGCCGAGTAAGCAATGCTGTCGTTAGGAAACGGGTACTAGGTAACGATGGCAGATCAATAGATGAAGTGGTGAAACTTCATCAGTTGAGGTGGTTGGGACATGTGTTACGTATGCCTAACCACCGACTGCCTCGACGAGCTATGTTTTGTGGTGTAGGAGTAACTTGGAAGAAAGTTAGGGGCGGCCAGACCAAAACATGGCAGAAATCCATGAAGTCACTGACAAGTGGACTGAGTCATGTTGGTAGATGTAGACTACCTGGTTGGGGTCCGCGAGACAAAAGTCATCAATGGTTAGAGACCTTGAACGACATGGCTCAAAATCGTTTGCAATGGCGCAGGTGCATCCACTCTTGGAGCTCTCTCAAATCCTAATCTGGATTAGCCAGCACCTCTACCTCAGTCTTTCTAACCTTATCTCACTGAATTATATACTT